TGCCATCTCCTGATGGCAGTGCTCTTGCAGTCGCGCTAGTTGTAACTTCCCGTGAGTATTCCCTTGGGCGTCCGAATCTATCTGGTGGGACGGACGACTCGACTGCGGACGCCTCCTGGTTTCTTGGCTCCCTTGTTGGCGGAGGCGCTGCCTCGGATAAGCCAGGAAATTTGTTGAGAAACGATGCAGTCTTTTGAGAAATTGCCTTCAGTGGCAAAACCACATCTTTGAAGTAGAACGCAATGACGCCTATTCCACTTATTAGTAACAGGAGTATCCACGACTGGGCAACGAGGTGCCACCAAACCTATGACGAGCAGCACTCCAACAGCGGGAAGGGCCGTACGAGTAGCGATACCGAACGAACTGATTCCTAGAATCATAGGAACACTCAGCTAGAAAGCCAACAGTTAGCTGAAAGCCCAGGTGCTGAACATGACGGCAATCCGGTTTTGCATACTGGAATCCAAAGACCCAAGGCCATCATGATCAAAGCGATGCCCCTGGATCGAGACCCAACAGGGCCTTTTACTCTCATGTCTCGAAAGACTCCTACTGAAGAAGCTCTCGTCACAAGAGTAAGGACAATGAAGGCATCCGTACACAGAACCGCAACGCCGAGTGGCCAGAGCAGATTTGTGGCCACACATACTGGGTCGAACTGTGGTCGTTGAACACCGACAAAGACGCCACCAATGATGAAGCGAAGAAAGAAGACAGCCTGGGGAAATAAGACACCACAAGTAGCTCGGGCATCGCTTTTCATAGCCCAGAATAAAAATTCTTCGAGCACGACTCGGGCGAGTTGGTCGAATGCGGCAGCAAATGCAACGGCGATTTGACATCCTGACGCAGAAGTTTGGTCGATAAAGGTAGCAACGAAGCCATCGACAGCCCATAGAGAAGCGAACAGAAGAAAGCCGGCGAGGACCAGCCTCAGATCGCCTCGAAAGAGCGACAGAGCCCCTCCTCTGAGATGAAATAATACTGTCCCCAGAGAGGCACAGACGACGGCACCGCTGAGATGTGAGTTGAGTGTTAGCTTGCCAATTTCAACTCCAGAGAACCGAAGCTCAGTTCCCTAGATGAGGAATGAATCTTTTACTGACAATGCAAAGGTTGCCACCAAGGCCTGGTCTCTGGCCGAGCTGGACATGACGACGGCCTGGCCAACCGACGGCTTGTTGGACAGACCGTGAGGAGAATCGAAACGGCCCAATCAATGGGCCATGGACGTATAAGCAACCGGTTAAGGTGATTAGAAGACAATATTGATTCCCGAGGGTTCGGAGGGGGATGTGTTTCCAGTCGAGGCCTAAATTATTGCATCTTGGCCATCGTCATCGTACAGCTCTCAGCTCGTGTCGCACCCATCACAGCAAGGTCTTCATGAGGGTGGGATGGCAGAGGATGAAAGAAGAGGAGGGGACAGCAGGCATTCATTCACATGGGACAGATCTAGCAGCAGCATCAACCTCTTTGGGATTGACAGTCTCAAAACATGCAAACGGAAAGCCAAAACATCTTATTTGGGCTAACACGAGTATTTGGCACACATGGGGGTGGAGGCCAGCACGTTCTTACTAGAGTGTCGCGCATAGAAAGTATGTACATACATCTCGTCGTGCACATGTGCACAGACGAAGACAAGCCTCCAAAAGCGTGTAGGAGTAGCAGATGGATGGTGGTTGGTGCCTCGCGGCTTGCCTCATGTCCTCCTACCACAGGAGCGGGAACGGAGACCAGAGGAGGAAAACTCTCAAACCAATTCGCGTTGGAATAAGGCCGAGCAAGCGCTCGGAAGGACAGATGGCCCTTGCCATTGGTACCGCGTATCACCATGATTGGAGTCGAGGACAATAAAAGGTGAGGTGAGGATCCGTGCTTTGCGACAGGTGCGTTTTGCATGAAACCTCAAACGTTAGCAAGACGGAGACTTTTGGGGGCGCAAATGGGGCGTGACCCAGCATTTGATGGCTGCGAGCCCACACCTACTGATGCGACGCATGGGAAATGCGGTTGAATCGTCTTGGCCAGTGTGGTGTAGATGCCAAAAGATGACTCGAGCGGCCTCTACATGACATTACTTGAATCGTGGTGGATGCGGTGATTATCACGACAGCATAGACCGTGGCCGAGCTGGCCGAGCAGGCCGAGCTCCCGGCAGAAGTTTCTCCGTGCCGGTTTGACTCGCTCTTGCCATCGTATGATGAATGCCCCCTTCAGCAACATTTTGATTCTTCAGCCTGGCTGGTGAAACTGCGACACCAGATCTCCGGAAAACGGCCCATCACAATATCACGAGCAGCCGATGCTATTTATCACACCAATGTCTGGTTCTCTACTAAAGAAAATGGCGTCCCGGCAACCTTTTGGGAACGTCATAACCTTATTCCACATGCTGCAGCCGACACGGTGAGATTCTTCACCTTGTCCACAGACAGTTTTCACCGTGCGCCAGTTCGGAGAGCCGGTTCCTTCCACAATCACCTGTGCGTGACTGCTGCGGGTCACACTGACGGTGTTTCATGAGTTTCGACTTCTGCGTGGCTGGACCCTACCCTCGGCCTCACCCGACGCGTTGAAGGGCACGCTTTGGTGCCTCCTCCCGGCTGGATCCATGACACCACGACTTGGGAGAGTTTGGCCATCAATGCTGGTTGATGGTCCAGGCGGCTGGGACAGCTCCATGACTTCAGAAGGCATTGATGATAGTCCGTTGGGTTGCAGCTGATGTCCACCAGGCCGAATCCCAGTTACCGAAAAGAGTAGGCGTTCATGTTTCACCCGCGCCTATGTAAATCAACCTTGAAGTCAAATGCCAGGAACCAGGTGTTTGGTGGTTGTGCATACGGCGACCAATCTCCCAACCACCAAGCTCCGGGTTGTTGACAACGGAGTTGGGCCTCGCCGTGGCATCCCGCGACCGGAGTGCCGCGCCCTTTCGACTTCATAATGGATGCAATCAAGTCCTTACGGGCGGCGCGCTGCATTGGTGAATCGGATAACCACCAGCAACAGGCAACTCCGCTCACCCCGAGAAGCTAATGCATCCATGCCTCCAGCTTACGCATGATGTACATCCATGCAGTCCGAACCCTATCGATGAATACGCCAACATCCATCGCAACGCAGAATGGGAACGGCCTACTGGTCAATTGCTCTCCAGGAGGCGAAATACGAGTGGCCGCTCCCCCGCATCCGCAGGACCAGGCAGTCCCAGATCTGCTTAATACTACATACGCCTAAACGGCATCCATCCGCAGAACGTGGCCAAGTTCCATAAACATGCTTCCTAGCTGCAGCCGTCGTCCGCGGGTCTCCGTGGTTAGCCAACTGTAGTAGTAGTACTACTACTACTATTACTAGTACTCGAATGTTAAGCCTGCTGGAACCCCGCTGTCGTCATCGCCTCGTCGAATCACCGCGTTGCGGTTGCAAAGCGCCCTCCGCACTACAAGCAAGCAAGCAGGCAGGCAGGCAGGCAGGCAAGGGAGAAATCGCCCAGCAGGCAAATCACCTTCCGACGCTGACACATCGTAAAACGAGATGTACATAGAAACCATTTGACTCTGGCGCCGTGGGAAGTTGTGAGTAAAGCATTTGACGCAGCGGCTGAGGCAGCCTGACGTAACCTCACGATTGTCACCGCAACCTCCAAAGCAGATCAACTTGACGGGTAAACGTGAGTCAAAGCCTGACAACGAATATATAAGGAAGTATATCTTGTCATTTGTTTTTATCGAAGGAGCACATCTGCCATCTTCTGGCAAGACGCCTCAGAATATACTCGAACTGCACCAAGACTACTTAAGTATACTACATACTCATCCCCCGCAATCATCATGGGTCGCTACGAGCTCGAGTATCCCAAGGACGCAACAAATCTTGTCAACAGAAAGGGCGACCGAGGTAACGATGACAATCAAACTCAACAACTCTACTTAATCACTTATATTCAGCCGACTAACTAAGCATTCTAGGTATCTATGCTCTCGAAAAGATCCACTCTCTCATCAACTCCAGCCAACTCATCCATGTCTCATTCAACGTCCCCAATTCTCCTTTCCCAGTCACCCTCCCCATGATCGGCCAGATGGGCTCCTTTGACCGGCCGTCCGCCGATCTAGGTGATCCTCTGGATCTCTACATCCATGGCTACGTCTCCTCGCGCCTCTTCAACCTTGGCCGCGGTGCTGGCGAAGACGGCATGCCCGTCTCTTGTGCAGTCTCCCACGTCGACGGTCTCATCCTCGCTCTCTCCGCTTTCAACCACAGCTATAACTACCGTTCTGCTTTACTCTTCGGCCACGCCAGTCTTGTCGAGGACCAGGAGGAGAAGCTGTACGCTATGGAGCTCATAACCAATTCTGTCGTGCCGGATCGCTGGAAGAACAGCCGCTTGCCGCCGACGAATGCCGAAATGCAGAGTACGAGCATCCTCAAAGTGAAGATTGCTTCGGGGAGTGCCAAGTACCGCGATGGTGGCGTCTCGGACGACAAGCATGATTTGGAGAACGAGGATGCGTTGAACACAGTGTGGACGGGTGTGGTGCCGATTTATTCGACGATGGGCGAACCGATTCCTGGCCCGTACAACCGGGTGGACTTGCCACCGTATGCAAAGGAATTCTTTGATGAATTTAGCGCGGAAAATAAGAAGCAGAGCTTGGACGCGGCGAATACAAAGACCGGGTAGATGCTTGTATTGAGACTACATAATACCTGAATTTGCCTTTTCGACTGCCCCAGTTGACTTGTACATAGAACTGAAGCATCAAGTAAACTTGACGTTGCGGAGTCAACCATTACTGGGCCGCAAAGGGGGGATTTTAGTGACTGATGCTATTTGTTGGTCTATACTAGTAGTTATACTGGTACTGATACAATTTTACCAAGATGTCTGCGGCATAATCACTCCATGCAGATTCCACACGTGACAATTCGGCACTGCCAATTCGATGGGCTTTATAGCCAAGTTTCCATCGAAGCGTATCAGCCTACGGATGTTGCGAGAACTCGCAAACAACATCCTTCCCAGCACTGCACTTCGTGCTCTTCCTCCCGGCCTTTTCAATATCATAAACCCTCGCCGCTGACGCGCCTTTGCTCCCCTCACCGCCATGCCACTCAACCGCCTCAAACCTGACGACCCCAAAGTCAATAAGACCCTTTGTTGGCAAAAGCTCCACGATCCAATTGGCGTCCCTCAAGCAAAGCCGCTTCTGGTTCTTCATCTCGCCACGCGCCGCCTCCCCCGTCGTCAAGTTCTCCAGGGTAGCAACTCCCGACGTGGCGCTCGTGGCATTGACACTCATGCGGATCCTGTCGCCCGGCTGCGCGGACAGCGGCTGCGCGTACAGCCTCGCGTCGGCCGGGTACCATTCGTACCAAGGGTACACCGAGTCGTTGAGGTAGTCGACGCCCGTCTGGAGAATGGCATCGCGGCACGTTGCGCCGTCGATGCCCACCCAGAAGGAGGCGCCGAGCCCGGGGTCTCGCTTGTATTCGGGCAGCGTGACGGTCCCGGTGACGAAGGACACGGAGGAGGGCGTGGTGTGGACGGCACCGGCCCAGTTGCTGGATGACTTTTGGCGCGTGGTGAGGTGAGACTGGGCAGCTGGGACGGCCAACGCCGCCGCCGCGAGGTATACGAGTCGAAACTTCATCTTGGCTTTTGGACCGTTGCTTGATTTCTTGGCGTTTTTTGGTACGGAGTAGAGAGTCTGTATTCTGGCACTGGACTCGCTTTACATGTGTATTGCCCCTGAACATCATCTCACACCCTCCCCCATCCCCATCCGTTATTAACCTGGAGCGCGGAGTCCTCCGCAGAGAGTAGAGATTACAGAATCTATCGGGTATGTACTTTCGTATCATCAACTAGTCAGCGCCTTTGTGCCACCAGATGCAGTTCCGTGTCTCATAAATAGTGGAACTTGCAGGCTTTTGTCGTGATCGTACCCGTAGCCCGATTCGATAATGAATAAGCGAGATTTAACATGAAAGTGACCTGTCGACGGCACATTATTTTCATTACCGGTTTTTCTTCTTCGCGCACCCTGGGATACCTCGATTGCTCTGAGTGGTGACGAAAAAAGCAAAAAGAATTGGCTAACGCGCTTTGTGTTTGTTTCATTGTCAAGGTTGAAGGAACGGCTTTAGGGTATCGCAGATTGCTACCATAACACATAGCAGTGATAGTAATGGCTTTGTGCCACGCAAGAATACTTTGTTGACGACACGATGCAATGCTTACATTGACCGACTTTAAATTCACCGTCCGGGCGTCGGGCCGACGGTTGGGTAAGTATGGATAGAGGTACGGAGTACACACAGCCGGAATACAAGACTGGGCTACTCCCTACTCCCTACTCCCTACGGACTCCGTATATTGCTGTTTGAAGCTCACCGCAGGAGGTTACTTTCACAGGCCGAGAAGCGAAAGTATTATGAAACAAGTTACACAGAAAGACCGAGGAAGATATTAGAATCCCGGCGACGTAAGATCTGCAAGCCACACCTTTCGTCACAAAGTCACCATGCCTACTCAATACGCTATCCAAGACATTGCTCCATAATTTCTAATGTCCAATTTATACCCCCCTTTGTTCGCAGCACGGGGTACGGATTACTACTCCGTGGTGGTCAAATTAAGAACTTCAGCTGTTTCAATAATGTGGCATCCAATCTCACCGATGAGCCTCTTTCACCACTTCTCCCATACCAGCGCCGGAATAGAAGTCCTCATTAGCGACCAGTGTCCCAAAGCACTCGTCTCATGCCACTTGGCCAACTTTGCCGTCTCATTCTTTCTCAAGATGCCCTCATCGCCTCCTATCAGCATAGCCGTTTCAGGAATCTCGTTGGGCAAACCCAAAAACTCCCGTCTAGCTGGGCTCTGCAAGAAGTCCTTGGTTGTGGGACGTCGGAAGCTAAGTGGGCTACTGTCTGACTTCTTGCAGAAAATGACCATGTTGGTGAAATCCATGCCCTTGGTTTTGAGGGACTCTGCATCTGGTGGCATTTCGCGGAAGATGCGACAAGTTGGGAAGACTTGCTTGATAGTGCGGTAGATGACTTTGGGTGGTGGGAGGGTCAAATCACCCGCGTAGTTCTGTGGCAACCTCGTGAGCAAGTTTGGCGTGTTTAGCAGCGAAAAGGGTCGATGAGGTGGACTTACGATGGCAACAGTGCCTTCGGGCTTTAACAGCGAGTGTAGGCCCTGGAAGAATTCAAGGGTGAAGAGATCAATGGGCTCGGCCCCGCCGGTAAAGACATCGTGAACGATGTAGTCGTAGGTCAAGGGTGCTGTTGTGGCAAGCTCACCGGTGTAGCTGACAGCATCCTGCAGTACGGGTGGATTGTTTTCTTTCAAATCAAAGTACTTGGATGCAAATTCGTAAACAACTGGATCCATCTCTACGACGGTAGTGTTGATTCCATGGGAAACAAGCGCAGAAGGCGTCGTGCCAACACCAAGTCCGCTGCAAGGGCAAGTTAGCCACCAAGTTACACCGTACTCTGCGGCGAAAGCTGATACTCACATCACCAATGCTTTGGCATCCTTGTCATCCACGGGCGCTGCCGACTCGACCAACCTAACAGCTTCTAGCATGGCGAAGACGCCATAAACCGGCTCTGATACCGGTCCCCCCCTATGGCTGATCCACTCCCCTCCCAGTAGACTATGATCACAACGCATAACGCGAAAGCCCTCCTCTATGCTCTGTACGACTGAGATATAACCAGTCACCGACTCACGCCTCTCAATGAACAACCAGTTATCAGTCATCAGAGAGCTCATTAGACTCTGAGTGGCGGCCCGAGACTGCAGATGGGTGTTCAGGAAAATGGTGTGGAGGAATGGGAATGCCGCGTAAATGAGGTACTTTGAAGGCGAGAAGGCCATGTAAGCAACCGACAGGATAATCTCAAAGCCCAGTCTAGTAAATACGAGGAGTCTGCCCATGATCCGGGGCAGATACACGCCAACCTGGCCTTCAAAGAACTTGAACAGGGCCCAAGACCCAATGCCAGGCCCGGCATCAGCCACAAAATTTGGCAACATGCCCAATCGTGCCCCCTCCCAGTAATCGGCCACCGAAGCAGATGTGAATAGTGCCAACGGTAGTAGCGTGAGGCTCTCCGTGACCACGGGACCCCATTGCGCGCCGAATGTCTGGCTGTAGGCAGCTAGAAAATGCTGCAAACCGGGAATGCAGACGGCAACCATGGGAAGGGCTTTGGCTGGGGTGATTGGCAATGAATCTCGCAGGAACGTGTTGCCAGCCCACCCCAGGAAGCACCCTCCCATCACGAGCTTTGTGTGCCATATTGACGAGGGAATGGATCCATACACCGGTGAGAGGTTGAGCTGAGAGACATGGGAGTAGAGCGCAAGGAAGGCTAGAAGTAGGACGATGCGAATGTAAATGTTTAATTGGCCCAGAAATCGATTGCTAAATGTGTCGCTCCGAGCCTTGTCAGCCAAGTCTTGAAGCTCCTTTTCAAACCTCTCAGGCGTGAAGCCCGTCGCCTTGTCTTCAGAGCTGGCACCAGGGGCCGACGCCTGCCTTGCTGTCGCCTTTCTCGCCATGATCAAACGGTTCAAAAAAGGTGTCGTGTCCGCTCAGCAGACATGAGGTATCCTGAGCTGAGGGAAGATACGAGTCGAGAAAAGTCAAGAACGATGAGGTAAACCCAGAATTACCCCAAGAGCTCTCATTCATTGAAGACAAGTTGACCGTGCTCGTGCGTTTCACCCTGAACTCCGTATGTGTGAGAGCATCGATACGCGTGCGTTGTCAAGTACCAGAAGTATGGATTTTGCACCTAGGGGTTACCGATTGCCGTGCCACGGTACTCCGGTGTGGCTTGCTGCCTTCCTTCCCGTCGAGTGGGGCTTTAGCCTTGCTCCCATGGTACAGGAAAATCCAATGCGAACATGCAAGATGCAGATGTCCTGGGCTGTTGAAAAGAGGTCTGGAAGAAACGGGCCTGAAATCCAATGGGAATAGAACAACTACTTGGAAGAAAGAGTAAAAGACTGAGGCGGGAGCTTCAAGAGGTTCCTTTAATTCCAAAAAACGGGGCGTAAGGAGAAAAGACTTGAGCATTCACAAGGTCCAAACATACCTAGGTACTCCGTACCTAGTAGTTGCCAACATCAATTGAAGTGACACTTGACATGCAAAAGTACTCCGTACTAAGTACCTACCTAGGTACCTAGGGCACGCGCCTATACAACTACACTATCGCATAGCCTAGATTCATAACAGTGCGCCGTATTTTTTTCAGATATAAAGGCCTCTACTAACATTGAATTCTGTCCTGCTCTAATAACCTGTGCTCGGACCGTTCAGAAGACCCTTAAACCGTACCTGCCCTCGGATATCGTACGTGCACCTTCCTGTAACAGCTTCGTCCAGCTCCGTCCTGGATTACTCACCAATAAGAGTTAGCCTTGATGGTGACATGCGCACACTTGCGTCCACACGGCTAAACGGTATTTTCCCCGAGTTGTTGCGCAATACTATCCATCTATTTGCTCATGATCAATCTAACAAATCCATAAAACATCATATTTAGTCTCCCCCCCTCCATCTCCTGCTCATCATAGTCGAATGCAGCTACACAAGAGAATATTTAACGACCCCGACTCCCAGCTGTTCGACGCCCACCATCAGCCCAGTACTTTCGTACACATTCATGATAGATCCAAGTCATGAAATGCACAGAAATCCAACAACGAAAATGATCGCTCCTCTATCCAGACCAAACGAGAATTCAATAAGCCTCCGATCCCTGGTAGTTTCATCCTGCCGTTGCCGGCCTGCCCTATTACCTAGGCTTGACGCGACCACCACCCAGACTCCCAATCTTCATATCGGGGTCGCATAGCTGTCTTCCATTTCGTCGTCGCTGCTTGAATCGTCACTTCGGGGACTTTGTGCGCTGCTCACATCAGCGCTGTGAATGTTGCTGAACTGGCCCATCAGGCTGCCGCCGCCAGAGAACGATCCCGGAAATGAGGGCGGGCCGGATGGCGCTGACATGTCGGCTAAGCTCCCACTCCGACTCATGGATGGCTTTTCCGGTAACTTCTTCAACAACCCGGTCGAGATATCTAGCATGGATATCGCGAATTGCGTCAGGGCTTTGCTCTCGCCGGGTTTAGAACTCACTGAGAGAGTCCATCGATACTCCCCTAAGCGACGACGGTACCAATCGGCTTCTTCGCGACCTGGAGACGTTGCCCACAACAGGGAGCCAAATGTTCCGATCAGTGCAAAGTTAGTCTTGGATGCAAAAAACCAGAACGAACGCAAGTGGTTCGGGGTCAGCCGATTGACAAAGTCCATGGCCGAGATGAGACGGGCTTTTGCTGCGCTTCGACAAATATGCTGGACATAAGGATCCACGGTGGTTGGATTTGATGCCAGTGAACGGATAATTCTACGGTGTAGTGTGATTTCCGTGGCAAAATACCCCAGGTGGAGATATCCAATGCTCGATAGTCTGTTCGTCGAGGGTGGCGAAACGGGGGAATAACTCGTCATAGAGTAGGATTCGAGACGAATATTTGCCGGCAGACCGCTATACCATTCCTTAAGTTTCAGCTGAACCGGTTTGGCAAGGGACAAAACAAGCTGAGTGCCTTGAGGGCCGGCATCGGCGATGTTCTGTGTCGAGTTCAAAGTGTAGAATGTCTCGAGGATCTCTGCCAGGATCTCAGACAGCTGAACAAAACGAGTAAACAAGAGCCGGCCCTTCTCAATGTCTTGTTTCTCATCTGAGTCGTCCTCATCCCATTCAACATCTGGAAAGTCGTTGGCAGTCAAAGCTCGCACGCCCCAGTTGGATGAGAAGATATGGGACGGCCGTCCATGTACCAAGGCGCCCCATTTGTCCTGCATGTATAGTGCCCATGCCAGCCTTCGTCTCAATCCCTTCTCCCAAGGAGGTATCTTCCAGATTGAACAATCCAGATGCAAACCGAGCTCTTGACCTATAGCTACAAGCTGAGCTGTTGGCGCCCACTGATCCCCTTCTGGACGTTGGGATAGGAGCAAGCCGGCTTGAATAGTGGATAATTTTGGTCTGTTCATGGCATCTGCTAATGTGCTGCAGATGAGTCTCTCCAGTTCTCGCACATCAGGACGAGGTAGGTTCGAGAGCTTTTCGCTGTGATCCCACCAATTAATGGCTAAAATATATACTGCAGCCAGGATAGGCGGTGAAAACTCTCGGTGGGATCGCTCGTACTTCTCCAAGAAGACGTGTTTCTGAATGATTGGAAACGCTGGATGAACGATGCGGAAGTACAAGTCGATCAAATGACGCCCATTTGGCGATACCACGGCCTCGATGGCATCTAAATCTTCCATCACATGATCATATCCCGGTGTACTGTTGTCTGGCAGCATCAGAAAGGTGTCGTTGTCGCTTACCTTTCTCAAGGTACCTCTGGACAACAGACTTTCGTCCTGCGGATCGAAAGCGGAGAGGTTGATGAGCGATGGTTCAAAATCAGTGGTGAGCCCAATGTATTGACTGAATCGATCATTTTGCATGCCAAGAGTCCTCTTGAGAATTGTTGGCCCACCCACATTTGCCATGTCTTCCAGAAATGAGCTACTGGCAGCCGTGCTAGATAAGCTAGAATTGCCGAGTTTGCGAGTAGAAATATTTGGTGAGCTAGGACCATGACACATGTTAGAAATAATCTTTTCGAATGTACGTGTTTGATGAAAGCGGCAGCCTCCGACGATACTCTGTATTGAGTGTGAAACAGCAAGGGAAAGAGGGAATACGAGGTAGTTCCATAACAATAGCAGTAGAACTAACCTTCGTTTGCCAAAGCTGGCTTCACGAGCTAGCACTCCATTCATTTTCCTCTTGCGAGACTGAGGGCTCGCTAATGAACTTGATAGGAAAGAGCACTCGGAGCCATTGGCTTGACAGGCGGCGCAGCCGTCCTCGGAATCACTCAAAACGCACTTGGTTCCAGAAAACCGACAAGTTTGGCACGGAGCAAAGGTCGACCCGGCCAGTGAAGAAGATTCGATCGAGGCTCCGGTTTGAACACTACTGGGACCAATCTCAAATTTGCACAAACTGTCTTGTCGTTGAGGTGCTGGGTCTCGCCTTGGAGGCTTTGGAGCGATAGCTATGGGAGCCGTTCGCTGAACCGAGTTGTGAGCCATGCCGGTAGAGGAGGGTAACTTCAGAGATGTTGGTAGTACTTTAATATATTTAATGATATATATTTTAAATATGAATGCCCCTTTTGAGGTGAGGAGAATCCAAGAGTAGGAGGGTCGTCGGGGAGGGGTGCCGATATGCCGTATCAGCACCGAGGGTACGAGAATTTTTGCTGTAGTGTGCACAAAGACGATGCTCGAGTAACGCAAAACGAGGACCGAAAAGAAAAGATACTTTGGGTCGAATTATCGATACCTGAGCCAAAAACCGATGGTAACAACAACCCCTGACACGATTTTAAGGCACAGCAACAGCCAGATTTGGCACCAAACAATGGGCCAAGTCAATATCGCTCGCAGCTGCACCCTTTTCCAAGTCGAAGCCGATTAGTTTGATCAAGGGTTATGCCTCTCGAAGAGTTCGTTGTCAGGGAGTCAAGTTACCACGGAGGCCAGGATGAGATAACCGTGGGTTATCGGAGTCATTGAGACCGATAGCTACGGGTACTCTCTTTTTTTCTCGGAGCAAATTCCGTGACGCACGTTCCGTTTGACTAGCAAAAGAGTTCAAAGCACTCAAGACCGCGAGAGAGACATTGAGCTTCTCTTCTAGGTGCAGATGTCTTCGGAGTTAAGACGATCAGGTAGAGAAGGGGGGGGGGAGTAGGATCCCAAGAGAAATGCGTAAAGGGTGCCTTGTGCCTTGTGCTGTGCTCCGATGGGCCAGGATGCAATGAATAGGGCAGCACGAATGTATGTGAGAACGGAGAGTAGGGGAGTGAGAAAGTGAAAAAGAGGAGTAGAGGCAACAAGAGAGGATTTTTTTCCCCCTTGAACAATCCTGATGTCTGGCTCTTCAATGGCACGTTCTCGCGCGCACGCCCTGTGTGCCAATGGAGAGGTAGAAAAATCGAAAGAGGCAACAACGTAAACCCACGCTTAGTCGCGCCTACCCAGTACAAAGTTAGGAAGAAAAAAGTGTGACATGTGCATCTTCCCCGGACTGGGGGTGACCCTTTGTGCTGGAACTGCTCGAGTTAGAAACACCACACACACAACCCGGCCAGCGATGACGGATGAAATGGGACCGTCGGTGGAGACACAAATTTATCCCAGCTAAGTGATCGAATGAGTGGCATGGCATTGACAAAGCACTAATCCTATCGTTCGTTTTGCTGTACCGTACCTAGGTCGTTTCCCGGGCTCAGAGCACTACCACTAGTCCGTACAGTCCGTAACACTGGCAGAGATCGTGGCTGGAATAACCGGCCGAACCGGGGCATGGCGATCCCGTTATATCAACTGGCCATCTTCCAGCGTCGCAGAAAAGGCGTCAGAGATGGATAAACTACGCTATGGCCAACTAGACCAGGCTAGCTTGATATTCTGTTTCTCCTTGGTGGTGGCTGGCCCTATCAACCAACCATCACACACCTCTTGCGCAAGCTTGCTTTTCTTATCGCGGATTACGATTGGCGACAGCCGCCAAATGGTGGCTCTCAGCCTTTGCAACCACATTTGTGATGGGGCTACTATCTTAAAGTCTTGTCTTGCTACGAACCGCGGTTATGGATCTGTCGTTGGGGATATACGGGGGATCAGCAGTGATTACTCCGGGGGGACAAAGTGCTGTCACAACCTGGTTTGCTCAGGTTGCCACCGAATCCCTCCTACCAGATGTCACAGGAAGCACGTGTATTGTATATGCGGTTTGCGGAGCCCTTGCCCGCGGCCTTCTGCGGCCCTGAAATTAGCAGGTGTCAATCAACATGTCGTCGGGCCAGGACCTGGACCTGACAGCCTATTGATGGCCTGATAGGCCGTAGGGTTCTCCGTATGGCACCCTGTCCCTAATAGTACCAACGACGAAACCCTTCCCACGAAGACACGCGACATTTCACTCCATTACATAACCCCTGGCTCCAACATCCAATGTTGTGATATGTCGGAAACCTGCGCCCTTTGTACGCGGACCTCATTCGTCACACGCGCGGGCAGCTCACAAAAACCCCTCATGGCAAGCTGTAGCCAGCAGCAATTTTCAAACATCAAGCAACATTTTGTCTCCCAGATACGTCAGGGAAAGACAACAGACACTGGGATCTTCCTGCAAGCACGCCGCCGTCATTACCGCTGTCCGTCGTGCGGCTGTCTGACGTGCAACAATTGGCCTGCAATTGCGATTCGAGTGCATTGTGCCCACCGCCATTACCGTATCATCATGTTTGCCAGGTTTCAGGGTCTGCGAGATGGAGGGCAGGGATCTCAAAGGTCGAGGCCCCAGAATTGCTTAATCTGAGAACCAGGATGCCGTTTCTCACATCTCACTGGACCATTTGTTATCAGCAGAAAGAAATACATAATGGTAAAGGAGTCCTTGGCCCGCTGATATGCAGGCCACAGGAGCTTTTTCCATAGCTTTCGCTTCAAGGCCCTGGTCTTGATCGTTGCGAAGCCGCCCTCCCCCACCCTGATACTCTCCACCGTCTCAGCATGGTGGCTTCCGGCCCTCCATTCCCAATGAGGCGCTCCGTTAGACCAGGCAGAAGAGCATTAATAAGAGTTGCCGACGTGGTTTGTTGAGCCACTCCGCCGACGCTGTCAGCGACAAGTGGTGCGTAAGGTGTCGCCTAGGCTACTTCCTATTACCAAATCGAAAACCATTTGGACGCTCGCAGCGTGGAGCCCCAGTACATCTAACGTAATGGCTCCCTCGGCGCGGGCCACAATCGAGTCATTTCGTTCGGTCCTTCTGCCCCCTGTTAGCATGTCTTCGAATGAGGCTGCTGTAACGGGAGATCGGGTTGCGAGTTGCGGGTTGCTTCTCATCCAAAGATCTAGGAGAATCATACGGAGTACTTGGCTTGGTCAACAGAGGAACTGAAGGAATTACTGTCCCTACTAAGAGCCGACTTGTGGAAATGGCATGTTATGTTCGGGCTGGCGTCCCGGGCCCTTGCCGTTGACACATGCCTCATGCCCAGATCGCCGGTCACGTCGTAGCTTGGTCCGGAAAGGGTACAGGGGAAATCCCCAGACGGAAAGCTTCATGCCCTGTTTTGTCATCTACCCTAGGTGAGATGTACTACTACGAGTTTACTATTAGGCACGGGGCAAGATCTACTGAGGTCTTTTTGTCAAAAGCCGGCACGTCCTTGGCGTGAAAATGTCACCACGGCTTGTTACCAGCCTGCCGAGATGGAGCATCTCACGCCAGGGCCCCCCTCCCCTCCTCCTCATTGACAACAGAAACAGAAACAAAATTTGCAACAAGTGCTGTTAGTTCTGAGAGAAACAATTACGTTAGTCAAGTGCGTTCAGCCATGCGAGCTTCTAAACGATATTTTGCCTGGTTGTACAACAGGAGAGTGGCCTCGGGAGATGCCACCCCTTGTCCGTTAATCTCGGCTCGTTCAACTTACACGACGTCATCCGGAGGGCGGAAGACGGAGGCCAGCAGCCTGAATTCAAGACTGGTCGGCGCTGCTGTTCACGATGTGTTCCCCACAACGCGCCGAGACTGACGGCGCCGCAGGGGTCCTTTCCTACCTCCGTTGGTGAGGGGTATCGTGGCCCTTCGCAGGCCCGGGCTTGGAGAAAACGCGGTGTTTCCGTGTTTCGGAGAGCGGTGTGCCTTGTCACTGCAACCACATCAGATGGTTACATGTTCGTTCATCAACAAACACCGCTGCTGTGCTGCGTCAGGGTGCATGCATATGTAGGTAGGTAAATGAGTCCGCCATGTACTCCGGTATATGCGCTTCTCTGGATTAGGCAACGAGCCAGATGTTTGAGCTTTGCGCTTCTTTTCAATATTTGGTCGGGACTTTGCATCATTGCCCTGTGAGTCGAACGAGTTGGTCGACTTTGGCTCCTCCCGAGCTGGTAGAGCTACATGCATACACGATGCACCAATTTCACACACGACTTCTGGGAATAGCATCGCATTTGCAGTCCCAACAGGAATATGTACACCAGCCCTTCGGATTGATTCGTCTGTTTCTCGAGTTAAACCCTCCAATATTACACGTGATTCACAACTCAAGTGAACACCACAGGCTGCGGTAGCTGAGGACAGAAAATACTGCTGCCACAATACTACTGTACTGGGTTGCATCCGAAATGCATTACAGCGATCTGGCCCCCACAGAAAACACGGGAGAGGCATATTGTTCGGAGTAGGGTGGACTGGAATAAGAAGGCTGTTGACGGGGGAAAGAAGGAAAAAGTCTTGGCTTGGTGTCAATATATTCGGTTTTTGAAAGACAGTTCAGGAAGGCCCTTAACGAGCAACACATGTATGTATGGCACGGCATACAGTGAATATCGGCAAGCCTGCCTCAGCCGACGACAACCGAGTTTGTACCGTCTCATGCCTTTCCATCCAGCCGGCTCCGTCGTCCAGGTTATTATTGCTGCGCCTGACGTTGCTATGCCGCCGCGTCTAGTGAAGCCGGCGTCCAGACCATTGTATGCTCCAGATACCGCTCTGTCCGCCTCTTCGACCCGCGAGGCGGCAGCATCATCTGCAGCTCCTGTCTAGTCTCGAAACCTAATCGCTTATAAAGTGGCACAGCGGACATGACACCTTCCAATACGATGGCTTTGCCAGCGTCCTCTGCCATGTCCTCCAGCTCTCGCAACAAGGCCGATGCCGCACCGCGTCCGCCCCATTTGGGGTCGGTACATAAAAATGTCACGTCTGTCATGGGGTTTTTTAAGGTTTCTGTCAGTGATTGTGTAACCCTCTCTCACGGGAAAAGGATAGGTCACGGGCCCCTTATATCGATCGATGACACATTCTCGTAAGATTGTTATATTATTGTGTAACATGTTCACCCGAACGCGGGACCGAGCAATGGAACTACCACCACGTGGGCAACCGAGGGAGGGGAGGGAAAAAAAAAATACTGACATGTCGAGTTGCTGAGAGACCAAAGGCAGGATGGCGCATCATGTATCTTGAACCATCCCAAACATAGTGTCAAGATCAAAAAAAGAAGTAAAAAAAGAAAAAACGGGAACTTACGAAAATAGCCCTTCTGCCCGAGAACTCTCCTCCTTATATCTCCCGCAATGTTCGCATACTCATCCAGAATCGACCGTCCACAAAACTCGGGCCACTCATCCTCCACCGCCGCCGTACGGGGCGCCAGTGTATCCTCGCCGCCTGGTCCGTACTCCAGCCACTTGATGAAGCTCGCAATGTCGCCCGTTGCCGGGTCCCTCGCGATCAGCACTCCCTTGCCAGAGTGCCGGATATGCTCCCTCGTGTTTCGCGCAAGCCACTCGCGGAAATACTCCCATGCTTGAGAATTGGGAAACTGCGCGTTGGTGAGGACGTCTTCCGCCATGGCGCGGAGGTGGATGTCGGCAGTGAGGGCCGCATCGTCCTCGAGAGGGATGACGATGTCGAATGACGGCTTCGCCATGTCGAGGCTGGACCTTTCTCTACACAGAGGTTTGTTGCAACTGAATCTGGATCGATCTTGCGCAGCACCTTCAACAGACTGAGATGTAGAACCGATGTTGTGATTCTAGTCATGTGACTGATGCGACCGACTTTGATGACGCCGCGGACGCCGACTCCACAAAAGACGCTTTTGGCATGTCTCACGATGCGCGATGTGTCATGTCCGGATTGGGATAGTCGCTGATAAAATTAGACTGTGAAGTGGCCAACCTGCTCTTTGATGTGACAAACTCGTCGATATCTCCGTCGATTCAAAAGTTTGATACGAGCGTGAGCAAATATACGTAACGCACAGCTATTTCACGCAAATTTATCTGGTTTGAGGACCGTCACTTCTCGCCATGTTGGGGGAGGGGGCGTTTATCCAATCCTATATTCATATACCTATCCTATGCTATTCCCACGCTAACAAAGCTGAACCCCGCAATAACGAAGTAAAAGAAAGAAAGAAAAATCAATGTAAAGTTGCCATGGCGTCGTAATTTAGCTATTCCCTCAGCTCTTTGAGTAAGCCTGGATCTTGGCAGCGTGTTCCTTCGCGTCAGTGATTTTAGGAAACTCGTTGCGCGACGCCGCAGGAGTAATGGAAGCTTGTTCAAGCGTAATATTAAGGCTGTCGACCTTATCCAGAGGAATCACAGTCCCATCGGACTTGCTAATCTCTACCTGAATAAGGTGTTCGATGGATTCTAGGGTCCCGTTCGACGAGGACCCCTTGGTAAGAAACTTGTCAATAGCCAGACTGCTACGCAAGTTTCCGTTGGCCGGAAAGAGCATAACAGGAATGGTGCTGGCTTGCTTCCCACCAACGAAGACTTTGATGGAGCAAGGACGCTCAACCTGGGCTCTGTCAAGCTCGACATGAGCGAAATGCCGAGTCTTGGTTTGTGGGCCACCGCGCTTGGCAAAGGCCGAAGCTGGTGCATAGAGGGAGTTGATAATCTGCACGGAATCTTGTCGGAGCTGCGCCGGAGACTTGCGCCAATGCTCGAGTCCCTCGTATGTATACCCCATTCCCTTGATGCTAGAGACTGACTTTGGAGTGTAGTATTTGCGTTTGCTGTCAAAAAATGGCTGTAGAGGTGAGTTCTGGTCGATTATGGTCCCCTCTGGAGTTGAGAAACGCGATTGGCCTCTGTACCTGCCGCTGAAACTCGCCTGGGAGGGATTGATGAATTGCCAGTAGGCCCAGAGGCGATCAACTTGAGTGTGGTGAAGCATGCTGTCAGGCAATTGTCAGTGAGGAGATGAGGGCAAAGAAGCTACCAAGCTCGCAGACTTACAACAAGGGCTCGAAACCGCTCAGAGAAGCATCGAAGAAGTCGCCCCTGCAGGCGGCCGAGTAATGAACATCGTTGTGCAACTCTTCGAGATGATGTACTCTGCCCCTGACGGCAAACTGGTAAAAGTTATTCGCGGTGCTGAATACATCGTACTGATCTATTGGTTAGCACGAGACCGGCGAGAAACGAGGCCTTCTCGGCTCCTTGTCCAACTTACGGTAGCCTGCTTCAGTCTGTAGTCTTGCAGTTCTTGACTTGCCGTGTCAGGGTATCGTTCCGGGGCAGGACACCTCACCATCTGGCGTGATTGAGTAAAATATCCAAATTGGCCGTCTAGAGCTTCTCTTGGGTAGTTATACGTTGATAATGGGTTCTTGATCTCAATACGCCCCAGGTTCTGGCCGTTTGGAACGTTGACAAATACTCTTTCCGGCACAGTGCAGGGCGGAACGTTGGAATCAGAAGACCAGTCCCAATATGGTGAGCGAAGGTTATTTGCCGCCGCCACATATTGGTCACGGTATCTTGCAGGGTATTGGGAAGCAATTCCAGCAGCGTGCTCGACCAGGAGCTGTTCGAAAAGCAAGACGAATGGGCGGTGCCAGGGCAGAAAGAGAGCTTCCTGTCTGCTTGGTTAGTATAAATCAAGCTGATACAGAGGTCATCTGCCTGATGCTTCCCGTCCCCCTCAAAACTTACACCGTGAGGGCAATACCCTCCCCAGCCGTTATTGTTGCGTGCCCCTCCACGGTTCCATTCGATAAATGGTAAGCCATGAATGCCTATAAACGGGAGTCAACTACTGGCAATGGTTCCAAGGAAGAGAGGCCGTGACAAACCAGAGACCTGGAAGTAGCCAAGAGGGTCGGATGCGTTCATCGACTGGAGTGAAGCGAGCGCCTGGATGTAGAGATCCCTGTGAGTGCCACGTTAGACGGTGTCCTCTCCACGACTCTGGATGAAGCCCCGGCTCTTCTTACCATTGGGGACCTCCTTCGGAGTACAAGTCATTCACATTCCTCCTCAGAGGAACATTGCCATTGGCGGCCACAGGAGCACCGGTAATAGAGAATTGAGCAGAGGCTAGCAAAGGTGCGAGGCCAATGGCCAAGAGCGCAGTAGCCGACTTGACCAACATTCTGGGCTGATATCGTGAGTGTATATGGATTGACTTGTATCCGCCCGGCCACGACTGAGTTGGAAGATTTCAGTGTTGAGATCATGGCAGCAAACAGCGAAGGGCATGCCGCCAAGATATACTCGTCTACAATGGCTTCCTGTGCTGCCGCTCTGTCAGAGATGAAAGACGAGAAGCTGGTCCCAGAGAGATCCGTGTCCCCAAGCCCGCGGCCACGCCGCATCAGACGGTCCTGGCGATCCCTGGCGATCCCTGGTGCACATGTTCCCGTGTGCAAGGCAAGGGATGCCCGGCCGCCGCGCTTGTGGTTGCATGCCAGCGTGCAGTACTCCGTACATACATGGACTCTTGCTGTGTATCCATGAAAGCCAAGCCGTCCGGTCTGTTCACGAACGGCCTTCTCGTAAGCAACGGCAGGCCATGGCGCTCCGTCCGGAGGCTGGCTCGAGTGTCGCCGACTTGGATGTTGCGTCATCCAATCTAGGGACCGCCTGGGCCGGACGCCATCTTTGGACCCTGAATGAGATGACGGCACGGGGAAACATGGCGAGCTAGGCGAAACCGGAGCTAGCAGCGAATATTGAATCGTCTGGGGATCCATCATGGCAGAATGGCCCCCATGGTCTGGACTCTGGAGTCGGGCATATCCTCTTCTACCCACATGGACGGCGGACGCGTCGTTGTTGTTTCTTTGCCGTGGGGGAAGGAGAAGGCGAGCGCCTGCCGTGTCACTCAATATAGGAATGCGATTGGGTCTGGTTGACAAAACCGCGCCTTCTTTCCAACCGTATGCCCCGAGTCGCTGACCATCACGACTCCAGAGTCCAGACTCAGCAAAGAGACAGAGTCTCCCGTCTGCCTTGGAAGACAGGTCTTCTCGCGACAACCGAATCTGTCCACCTGCTGGCTCAGCTGAAACCGCGGGAAGCACATCTTCTTGCTCAGCCCTGTGGGAAAAAAAGGTGTGCGGCCGTCTTTGCTGGCTCAACCGACCGGCCGGTGCCAGGGTTACATGAGGAAAATACGAAATGTTACCTTGCGGACCAGCAACACTGCGGGATCGCGAGATGCGCTTCGCTGTACCGACGCTTCCATCTCGCACCTTGATCATTTACCCGGGTACGTTGCCTCCGTCCAGGCGTCCAGTAGATGGGAGTATCGTCCTCCTTGGACAGGGGTATTCCGAGAAAACCGTCAGGCACATGCATCGCCAGTCTGAGATGATAGATCCACTTGGGAGGAGATGCCGGTGTCGCCTTTGGCCCTGAAAGCTTCCGCCCCAATCAGGCAAGGCGGCCGTGTTCATTCATCATCAAAAGTACTAGTACCGCGTCCAAGCCGGAGGTATTAGGTAGTCTTGGACTCTTGGCCATGGTTCTCTCAAGGTGTGGCCGTGTCTAGCTCACGACCGTACAACGTACATCTTGCATTGACGTATTGCGAACACGGCCCGGGGAAGGGCTAGCTGCATCCGACTTATAGCCTTGAGAGTCCACCATGGACGGGGCAGAAAATAAACAAACAAACAAAAATAGTCATAAGAATGTTCCCGGCTATAGCACATGCGACGACGTTTGCGCGGCTGTCGTACGAGAACAGCTTCGTGTCCGCCGTGGCCCCGAGTCGACATTGAAACGGGAATGAATATGGCCTTAGTTGACACGAGGCCCAAGTCCAACCGGACATGTCTCGATTCCACGCAACTAGATTGTTGGTAACCAGTCTCTGTATTGATCCATTTTGCACTTTTCATGCAGTGTCAAGCTGCCTTGAAGCTGCGAAGCTTGCAGCTCGCTTGCCTCATGAGCCACGACTCAACTATATTACATGACAACTCGGCGCCAAAGAGCGACTGGCTGAAATTATGTCCCTGCCATCCAACTTTAACCATGATGCTTATATTCAGCCTTCGAGAAACCCCCGTGTCCGGCCAGGACAACTACAAATCGGGCGCCCTGCAGATGGGCGCATGGTTCCCTGGCTTCTCATCCGTGCCACCATTACCGATTACCGTTTCGTGGCCAACTCTTATTACACAGGTTATTAAAGTGGAAAAGGGGAAAAGACACTCCGTTGACCAGGTCAGCTCCGGCCCATCCGTGACCATGATCCTGGTTTTCCTCCGTAGCTTCTCAATAGACTCTGAACCAAGAAATGTTGCCGGCCAGAACAGGAAACTTATCATGTCATTTCAGCATGGCTCAGCTCGGCTGAGATGCAGTTGCATGGCCACATGTAGCTGTAGCAGAACCGCCTCCATCGACCGATCGGTGAGAGAGATTCAACTTCCATGTCAGAGTCATGTCTCAACAAAATGGTTCGTACAACCCGAGCTTTGTTCAACTGCACATGAACTTTATGGGCCTCGTGTAGTCAAATTGCAATCTCGGTGGGGGGGAAAACAAGCGACTTCTCTTGTTTCATAGGATAATGCTAAATGTACCCTTATGCTGTACCCCCATGCATCGTAGCAAAGGGAGAATCTTGATTCTCAGCTGAGCTTATGCCCCCAACAGCTCAGAAATTCTTTATATCGAAAGAAACAGAAACAAAAGTTCCCCCCCTTTCAGCCGTATTCTCCGGAATATCCGTCTAGACTTGCAACGATCCGATCCGCCTGGGTTTAGTTGTTTGTTAAAAGTGACAGTTTCAGTTTCCGGTTGAGAGGTACCCGCACCGAAACCCTGGTTTGGAGAAAGAAACAGTCCGACTGGATGCGTTTAGATGTACAAACACAGCCTCGTTTTCCCATTCTTCCCTTGTATGGGTGGACCTGCAATGGAAAAGACTGGTGCTGGTGGTTATGGCAGAAGAGAGGGCCGTTGAGGCTTGCATCTTGTTAGTCTTGCAACAACTCCATCCAAGGGAAAGCAATAGTATAGCTGGAGCAGAGTTGATCAGGAACCGAGGTGCAATTTCCACACACCAGCTTGAGCTTGTCGACACTTATTCAATGTCCCCACGTTCCCGGTCAACCTCGCAGCGGATCGATATGAAAACATGGCAGATGAAGCCGTCAGCAACCAGATATGAAATCCCCATGTCCGAATTTCCCAAAGGGGACGCGAGGCTGACTCCGAGGGTTACATCGAGCTCTCATTGCGTGGTTTCGAATATGTCTTCTGCATGTCATTGGAATCATTGGCCAGTGAGAGTCGATGCAGCCCAATAGTACCCAACATTGTTTAGGGATCTGCACAACCTAGCAGGGCTTCCGTCTTCAAGTAACAGCTGGAAACAAGAACCCATACAACAATTCTGTGACCTATCATAAGTCGTGCTATTCAGCAATTCTAGTTAAACCAAACCCCACGTTGCTCAATAAATGCTACCAGAAGCAAAAACATGCTTTCTCTCCTATGCCGCGTATGCCGCTTTGTTTTGAAGGGCCGCCCAAAATGCAAAGTTATACAATAATCAATTCATCGTCATCATCATCGAGAGAAATCTGTCTCTCTGAGAAATCCATACCCAAACTCTCCCTGCCCGCTTCTCGGATGCCCTTCTCCGTAACAAAACGTGTCTTTTTACGCACTGGCGGAGGATCCCCCCCTTTGTGAAGTTTCTCGCCTTCCTTCATTTTTGACAATTTGTTTCGGAGGTTGGAGCCCCAGCCGAATGCGGCGGCTGTTGAGGATGAGTTTGTGCTGCCCACGACAGAACTCGCTTGCGAGCTATCCGGTCGTTTGCGCTTGATGGGGCTGAGATGAATCGTCCGGTCTTTGCTGGTTAGGCCCAAGGATAGGGCATCACGTTTCGTAGACTGAGCCTCCTGCTCTGGAACGGATCCGTTGGTCTGGTTTGTCGTCGCAGGGCTCTGGCCAGCGGTTCCTTTGAGCCCGGCTCGCTCCATGTATTCTCGTCCTGCGGCGTTGCCTATTTTGCCCAACTTCTTCATCATCTCGCGCTCCTTTTCCTTTGCTTCCAGGCTCCTTTTGACCGACTCGGCTTTCTCTTTCCGGTCGGCTGCACCGCGGTCTTTGCCATCAATCAGATCTGCTGCACTAAGAGATCGCGCGGCAAACCACTGCGTCCTGGTCTCCCAGTCGTAGTTGCTTGAACCTTTTTTCTTCTCGTCCTTCTTCTGTCCAAAGCCAAATTTGCTCCGCTTCTCCCACCCCCCAAAACCACTGGAGTTGACCTCTACTCGCGACGATCGTTGCTTTCGAATGGCTTCGTTGGAGTGAAATTCACAAAAATGTGTCTTCTTCTTATTCACCCATGCGCCGCAGAGATCGCCGTCCTTTTTCACGGACTGACAGAAACCCAAGTCACGAGCAGAGCCAATCTCTAATATCGTGTCTTCGTCCGAGTTGATGACCAGACTGAAACGACCAGTGTCTTGCCGCCCTGGCGGCGGAGGCATAATGTTCGGGTTAAGGATGGCAACGACAGTACCTTCGGTTAGTTTCCAGAACCGTGTAAACCCAGAATTGAATAGAAAGAGATCCAGCTCAAAATCTAAATCTGTCAGTGTCATGACGAGGTATTTGCCTCGATCTTCTTGTTTTTGATTTGCAGTGGGCTTATGCGCTCGTGGCTCCGATTTGCGGGCCACAACAGCAAATACCACAATATCTTGTTCCACATCCGGTAAAGCGTAATCGGGTGATTTTACATCTCTTAAAAGGTCCTTGATGTTGAGTATTTTCTTCTTGGAAACATGTCGGGTAACGACAGTGTGTGGTAGTATCCGTTTTGAGAGATGGAAACAGGAATAGACCTCAAAGGACGCTTCGTCTGTCCCTGACGACTCATCAGTAGCGCTTGGCCCCAAAGTTGAAGATGATAAATTTGAATTATGAGAATCTGGCCGTGGTTGGTGAAGACTTGGCGCAGTCTTGCTTCGAGGTAACTTTGAAGCTGCCGGGGCATGTTGTGACAAGATATCTTCACGAGTAAATGTCGGCGGAGGCAACGGTTCGTCTGGAATCTCGACTGCGCTCTTCTTGAACTGTTCCATCTCATCCTGTCCAATGCTAAATGCATTGGTGCGCGCTCTTTGTATTCTATCAATCCTTTCCGCTCTAGCAGCCTCCTCCGTCCGTGCTGAGGCCAGTCTCTCATTGAAGCTCAATGGTCTCGCAGTCTCTGGTGATAGAGCAGAAGAGTGCACTGATCTGGATCGATTCAAGTATCCTCCAGTCTGAGACGATGTGCCCGGCTTGTTTCCTTTCTGGCTCGGGGCGCGCTTGAGAGAGACATCTTTGGCTTTCAAGCCCTTATCAATGCCCAAGAATACCCTACTTGGCGACGTTTGTTGTTGCAGGAATTGGAGTTTTCGAACAGGTGATGCAGGCACTGTGACCTGGTTTTGGGAAGCCGGTCGTACATTCTCATCCGCGCCTGGTGTGCGCGCGCGAGCACGACGATTTGGGCTGGGCAAAACGGGGTCTGACTGAGCGTCTGCTTCACCGTCTCTGTGCGAGGCGGCTTTTTCCCTAGCCCTTGCATTTTGAAGTCTTTTCAGTTTCAACTTTGCTTGTATCTCTTGAAGCTTCAGCTGCAATGTCTCCTCGTCTTCGTCGTCGTCTTCGTCGTCCCCTCCGGATGATTGAATACCCAGACCAGCGCCGGGTGATGAAGTAATAGCCGCCAATGCTCGAGCACTTCTCATGGGCGAAGGTGACGGTGACGTTCGGTTCATCATCTCGCGATATCGTTGACGTCCACCAGGTGTGCTTAATAGGGCTTCGTGAGGAGATCGAGGCGGCCATTGCGGCTCGGGATCTGCAGCACCTATGCGTCAGTCCAGAAGTCGCATAGCAGTCTGATTTGGGATTGAAATCTCACCCGGTGCCATCGCGTGGCCTCACAGTAGCAACCTTTGGGCAGCAAGAAAAGGGGATTTCGAATAAATATCAGAAGTGAAGCGAAAAGCCTGGGGCAAGCAAAGGCGCATAACCGTACACTCGGCTATGGCCGTTGAGCGGCCCAAGCCATAGAGCTGGAGCAGTGCTCCAGGCTTGTTTTTTTCAATGTCCAAATGAAATGTCTTTGCCTGCGTATCAAGACGAAAGCAATTACATTCGTCAAAGCTAAAAAGGTCGATATCGAAAATTATGATGCAGCTCCGCGATAAGGTGTGCTAGCGTATGGGTAACATCGAAGGCTGAGTGCCGGCGGCCCATCGAATGGGCCATTGCGGCTCCTGGCTCTTGGCCCAGACTTGCGCACTGGGACTTGGCTTTTCCCGTGACACGCTTTACGCGTCCAGATCCCTGCAGCCTCAGAACCAGACGCGTTTCTTACCCCGGGACACTCCCGAGTCCCGACTCTACAGTTTGCTCGCTGGAGTATTTGGCCATGTACCTACCAGGTACTTGGAGGCTGTAGTAAGTTACCTAGCCTGATGCATCCTGTCGGGTACCTGGCCAGGTCTACACCAACGTCTCCCTGCTTCTTGCTCGCGTTCAGACTCCCACCCATGACCACATTTTATTTCGAAACATAATCAATGGTGCATGATTTCCTTGGATTGGATTTTGGAAAGCTATTTTGATAGATCTCTGTCTTCTTTGGCCTACAATTTTGGGAAACATTCCTTCCTATTACGCCATTGATCCCAGTTGATCGCATAAGACCAGGGCCATGCCGCGAACGAGGTCTACCAAACCAGCCGCGAGCGAGTCGACGGACACTCCAGCAGCCACTCTTGCCTCCAAATACACGCTCACTCCCAGAGATGGCTCGTCACCGGGCATATTCATCTTACCAAAGACTGCAACTCCAGAAGCACGCATAGTCACATTGCCCCATCCGCGAAATGGCAAACCATCTCGGTATCTCATCTGTCCCAAGACCGGCATCCACGAATTCACAAAGATTTCAGCCCCCCAGTCGGCACCCCGAAGCTGGCTAATCGAGACCAGAGCCGATTCGGGCGATGACGATACAGACAGCAAGGAAGCAGACCCGCATGTCGACATAGTATCTTCCTCCGACATGTTTGTCGCAACTACGATAGATGCACTCTTCCTGGTTTTACCGTCATTGGTTGATGCCACGGTGCAAAAGGGCTCAGATGAGAAGAAGAGGCTCTTTTTGTCAAGTGACGACCACTTCGACAAACTCCCCGAGGAAAGCTCCCACTTGTCCGAAATTTTACAATGGGAAGCGACCAGAGCGCTTATTGAGTCAAGAATGGAGATCATTTGTGACACGGTAGAGGCCGGTGACGAGAAGATGTTCCGACTCAGCGAGAAGAAACTCGTTGCTACGATCCTTGAAAAGGCCAAGAGGATGAGCGATGGAGGTCTGCCGGCTACTTTGGAAGAGAAGTTCGTCAAGAGGGCATTAGAGGCACCGATTCTGTTACATCGCAGCACCTTGGCAGCTAAAGTTTCCGAAAATCAAGCGGCCGCCGAGGTTGCAACAGAATCCGAGGTTTCTACCCCTGTTACCGATTCCGCTCAGTCTCAATCAACGACTGTCACGACCGACTCAAATTCATCGTTCGTGTCGCAACCTTCCACTGCGGCAACATCATTTGTTGAGGATGGCCAAGCCGAAGACGCCGCCATGACTGCCATCCAAGCATCTGCGGAAGTCACTGCGCTGCAGAGACTCCGCGTCGCCTTTGATTTTATTTGCTCCCGATATGTCCCCACCGCTACTGCAGAACAACTAAAGCTCCATCTGTCCCAACAAGACATGTGCTCAGTCGACTTCTCACCGCTGGACAAGTACCGATCTAAATTGGCCGAGCTGCGTGCTGAAGCCGTTGCCGCAACTTCAACGGCTGACTATTCGAGGAAGCGAATGGGGGACGAAGAGGAAGATGCACTTCGTCAGGAGAAGAAGCGAAAACTGGAAGAGGAGAAGAAGCGTAAAGCTAATGAGAGCCGTGGCGTTAGAGAGCTCAAGAAGGTCAACACGAGTGGGATGATGAAGCTCAGTCATTTTTTTAAAGCAAAATAAAGCAATTCATTTAACAGTTCAAACCGGGTATCTAGGATGCCAACAATATTGAAAACGTCATGTGACGCATAACGTACATATTCACATCATGAACAACATAAACCGTCTTTCATCTTGTCGCCCGTGTGCGACCTCGCGTTGACCGTATCCCACGGCCTATCCCTGAAGTTCCGCGACTTCTTGATGAGCTTGATGTAGGTGGTTCGGGCAGACGGCCTCCCGTCGTGCCACTTCTAGTAGCAATTCCTCCGCGGCTCCGAGTCCTTCTTAAACCCCGTGTACCTCTAGAAGTCGAGGGAGCTAGCCTTCTAGCAGTCTCTTCCTCTTCTCTTCGTCGGCGCAATTCCTCTCGTCTTTGCTCTTCTTCTGCAGCCTTGCGCTCGGCAGCGCGCTGCTTTTCTAACGCTTCGGCCTCTTGTTCAGCCAAGTCCTGGGTCACGCCTTTCCATCCGGGGTGAAGGATTAGGCGCTGGTTGTGTTCGGTCTGCGATAGTATTCTCGTCCACGTGTTCAATAAAGTTGACGCATTGGCGACAGTCTTGGCAACAACCTAGCATCATGGGATTAGGAACCCAGAAAATAGCGAGGTCTTCTTCCAAACTCACCTGCATATTGCCACCCGCTCGATTCAGCGTGCCTAACAGGCCTTCAATGCCTTCATTGACACTTCTGACACCCTCCAACTCTCTGCGCAATAGATCATCCCGGCTCACAGTCTCTGATGCAGGGGGACCCGTCGGGGTTTTGGGTGTCTTTGGGGTTTTGGGGGTTTTTGGACGAGCAGCTAGCGGAGCATCGTGGGAGGGCGATGCCCAGATATCAGACTCGGTGTATTCGGTGTCGTCCGCCATGGATTCGTGGGTGTGTACGTGCCGGATGTTTCGCGGGGCAGAGAGGTGGTATTAGATAATCACAAGGAAATAGAACTAAGAAATGTGGCCAGAGGCAAGGGTCTGGAATTGTTATGTGTGTTGAGAATGACCATGAAGGAGTGACGTGATGCACGACGGCACATGATACGGCGCGTCACTGTGTAGTGGAGGGGCGTTGCTGGTTCGTTTGAGGGGCCCGTACTCCGTAAATCCACATGAAATAACAATACAAATCAGGCCACGGACGACGGCAAGGTCGCAGCAAAATAGCGGCTGTCGGGCAGCCAAACAAGCTTTGATCTGTAGTATCGACCACCCCTTTGCCCTGATTGGCCAGCCGTGGCGCGAAACAGACGCGTCGAGCGAAGTAGGGAGACGCGTGTGAGGTCGATTTTAGTGGGCTTATAGGCCAAGGGCCAGTCACATGCGCTAAAAGAGTCCAGGGCACACAGCAAATGGGCGACGGCTGGGCGGCCTTGAGCCAGCGAGACACAGAAAGCAGGGGGGCTGGTGCCCGCAGTTGCCAACAACGCACACGCATTCCCGTCCCAGCCTCCCACTTACATCCAGTCTAAGCTCATGAATGTCGAATCCTTCTCCTCCCATGCTCCATACATTTAACACATTTCATCTTTACTAATTTTCGACAACACCAACTCTGCGCATTGCCGTCAAGATCCCACAGCGTTCTACTTCCCCTAATCGATTTGCTTGTTTAATTGGCCTTATTGTTTAGCATTTCTTCACTCTTGTTAACCTTGCCTTGCCGCTGCCCGAAAATTACCCTAAACTCTAGGCTTTATCTACGACTGGCATCACTCAGGCATCCGCTTCTATGCCCCAGACACCGTGACAGAGCAGTAAACTCAAGGCAGAGCGCCAGATCGCATAACACTATACGCATTAGCGTCTCATCCACGCCCGCATACACCTTTCAATCATGGCTTTCGCCAATGAACCTGCCGGCGCCAAAACGCCTTCACCGCCCAGCACTATCCGAACTCCTCCTGCACCTCAACTAGGGTTCCATGATAGCTGGGAACCTTACTCTCCTCCGCGCAAGTCGGCAAGACTGTCTTCACAAAGAGCCGCCAATCGAACCCCTTCACCTCGAGCTTCCCACCGCCAGCAACCCGGTTCCCCACGAACAGCGAAAAAGAGTCTCGCTCGAACTGGCGCTCCCATGGTTTCACCAGTGACGTCTCCTCGCAAGAGGTCACACCCCGCTCTCGACTCTCGCCGTCAGGTGTCTTCATCTTTGACTGCCGAAGGAACTGCCAATGCTGCCGTCGCGCTTGGTCTCAATGTAGACAAAGGCGTGCAACGCTCGACGACGGCTTCGGTTTCACAATCCGCTGGTATGCTGCCCACGCCGTCAAAGACGCCTCAAAAGCCACCAAATGAAAAGACTGCGGCCAGCATTCAATCTTTTGCCCGAAACCTCTTCTCGTCTGAGGAAGAAGTCTTGCCATCTCCTAGGAAGCGACGATCTAAGAAATATTCCGGAGTTACGATGGAGAGTTTCACGGCCGAGGAAGAAGAGGACCCTATCACTATTTTCACCGATTCGCAAGACCGTATCCCTGAGAAGGACAACAGTGAAGCAAATCCGTTTTATGGCAGCGCGGCCACGGCCGCCGAACCAAGCAAGAGACAAAGCCGGCGAAAAGTAGTTAGCATTCCTGGCGAGGGTGCTCAGTCAATAGACGAGGCTGCTCGTCGCGAGGATGGTATAGTTTATGTCTTGTAAGTCTTGAACTTTTACTCTGTATCTGTCCTGTTTTCTCTTTTTTTGAATAATGATGCTGACAAGCGGTTTAGTCGTGGCAAGAAGTTCTTCCGCAAGTTTTCTGAACAGGACCAATCTGAAGAGATTGCTGCCTCTGCCGAGGATGACGAATTGCGGCTCAACCGACCCCTCACCCGCGCCTCTGTGAAGCCTCGACTCCTCTTCCCCACGCAAAAGACTACTGCGGAGGATGATGAGGAAGCCTTGACTGACGTGGAGGACATGAACCTGATTGACGAACACGTCCCCCAAACACCCATGAAAGCACATTCGATTCCAGCAAAGACCCCGGAAGCACCAAAATATGCGCCCGTTTCCCCTCCTGACACAAGACGGACAACCCGTTCGACAAATAAGCTGGCGGATACGCCCATGAAAGGCACAGGCCGCAAGAGTCCGTTCGACTCGTGGCCTCGAACAAAGGAGCACAAGAGCCAGTCGCCAGCACCCAAGAGAGCCGGCGAGAGTCTTGCTTCCGAAACCACCAAACGAACTCGTGCTTAGACCGCGGACTTGGGGCCTTGGTGAAACGACCTTATTTTTGTTTCGAGTAGATAATATGGCTTGGAGAGTATTCAAAAATTTTTGTCACGGTTTGGCATGGCTCTGCAGAATGAGTCATTATATTGGAGGATGGTGTCGTGCTGACGGGACGATTCTTTTCCTTCGCAATCCTGGATTACTGGACTGTTTTTTATATCTGACCTGGAATGAACGAGGTTTTCGATTCTATCAAGGCGTTTGGAAGGGGACAGGATATTTGAAGCTATGCGGCAAGAATGCTCAGTTCCGAGAAAGGCATCATAGATTTACAAGTTTTCAAAATTAAATGTGTTATTAAGTTTTAATATCAACCGATGAAACGCCCTTGCACGGGTCCAGTTTATGTTACTCCTTGTGGTCTGTGTTATTTCTTTAGAAAGCTTTATCTGCCAAACAATGCAGCTATGTTGACTTCGGTAGTCACCATCGCGACGGATAAAAGCCGCGGAAGTTTTTGCCCCACGCCGAAACGTACTTGACTTTTTTGCCCCTCATGTCGTTCTCTGTTGGCATGGCCCGCCCTTCTTCACCCACCATTCTTGCTACTACTTCAATTGCGCCATTGTCGAATACCATAGGCAGGAGTCAAGGCATTTTATGAATTCATTGTCATTCTCATTCTAAGATTTTGATTTCTTGGATTTGTTCTGGCGTCTTGGGCTGCTCATTGGGTTTGTCGACTCTTCGAGACGAGGCCACGGGATAAATACTACCACGTTTTGGATCTTCGGTCTTGACCATGCATATCCTAGTCACTAACGATGATGGACCACCGTCATCACACTCCTCGCCATACATTCGCTGTCTTGTGAAGCATCTGGAGGATGCAGGGCACATCGTATCAGTCTGCTTGCCTCATACCCAGCGCTCATGGATCGGCAAAGCCCATATGATTGGGCAAACTCTTAAACCCACGTACTACACGCCTTCATCGAACATCCACGGCGAGGACAATGAGGGAACGACACGTCAGTTGCCCTCTACGGCAGCTGATGCCGACGAATGGGTTCTTATTGATGGGACGCCGGCATCATGTGTCCAGATTGGATTGTACCACTTCTTTCAGGATAAAGGCCCAATCGACCTAGTTATCAGCGGACCCAACTACGGGCGGAATACGACGTCTGTGTTTGCTCTGAGCTCTGGGACACTGGGCGCTGCACTGGAGGCGGCTGTCTGCAGAAGGAAGGCTATTGCTCTCAGCTTCGCCTTCTTCTCGAGGAACCACGACCCTCTTATTATTGAGGCTGCCTGTCGCCATGGTGTCCGGGTTATAGAAGCTCTATACAAGCAGTGGCCCACGGACGAAAGTGTTGATGTATATAGCGTCAATGTCCCGCTGGTAGAGGGAGTCGAGGAGCACAAGACACTCTGGGCGGATATGCTGCAGAATTACTGGAAAGAAGGAAGCTGCTTCCAGGAGATTGATGGCGATACTGGCGACGCTGACGAAGAAGAGGCTCGAATTAGGCAAGGTGAAATTGATAACGGGCCGACTTTACAGGAGAAAAAGGGACACAAGCATAAGCATTTCAAGTGGGCTCCGAGGATGGCGGATGTTTACAAGAGTGTCGAAGAGTCTGGCCCCGGTAACGATGGGCGAATTATTCGAGACGGGAACACAAGGTAAGAGGACCAATTCTCTAATATTACGTCATGCCCTAGAAAACTGACAAGTTTTGAAAAAGCATAACTCCAATGAAAGCCAACTTTGCAATCTCACATCCTGTACCTGCCGCCACGGAGTTTGAGTTTGGGTTGTAAGTCAACACTCCTTATAGAATTTCTTTTTTTCCCTTTCTCGTTTTGGATTCCGGGCCGTACACAAATAGAGACGATGAGCTATACAAGAGGCGAAACTCTGAACATGTACATCATGCACTTTGCATACTTGGTCCATAGACTTCTTGAGCAGTACTCTTACCATGGTGTTATTTTTTAGTCCATATAAAGTATTGCCACTCAGAGAAAACTCAAAGCAAAATAGTGAAGCGACAAGTGCAGATGCAGCTTTTCAAGCCATCATTGCCTACGAAGATCCCTATGTGCAGCCCCTTATTGTCACTGCACTGAATGCCATATTTCCACGAGGCTTGGTCAAGCTCGTCACGGATGTTTCGATGACAGATGACTTTTCAATAGCCAATTTTTTGGACTCTCCGGAGTCTAAAGTAGTACAGATCACGCCCTACGAATCCATTGATTTCGAGTTTGCGGCAACGCATCCGACATCGTGTCTGATAAACAGCTATATGATCCGCAAGGCCTTGATCCGCAAGCACTACCTCTCGGCAACTGTAGATCACTGGGTTGCGAAGAACCCTGATTCCCCGCTCAAAACGCACGTCAAACGAAGCGAATCCTTTGAAGTTGACTACGCCGAGTTTCTAGACGACGCACTGGTCGAGGCCTTCGATCTCCGAGAGAGCATGGACCGCAACGCTGAAATGGACGAAAGCGAGCCGTCAAAAAGGGAATGGTGGATCTTGAAACCCGGAATGAGCGATCGAGGACAGGGGATTCGTCTATTCAGCACAATGGAAGAACTACAAGACATCTTTGACCGTTGGGAAGCAGACCGCCCTGACAGCGACGACGACGAGGACTATACTCACGACCAAGACACCCACGGCGAAGGCGGCGACTACATCACTACCTCTCACCTCCGTCATTTTGTCGCCCAACCCTATATCCACCCACCTCTTCTCTTGGATGACCGTAAATTTCACATCCGGACCTATGTCCTCTGCACAGGCAGTCTCACCATCCATGTCTACAAACATATGCTCGCCCTCTTCGCCGCAAAGACCTACTCTTGTCCCTGGCAATCCCCCGACGACATCGAATCCTTCCTTACAAACACATGCCTCCAGGAATCGCCCAACGAGAACTCGGTCCGGCGTTTCTGGGACCTGCCGCTGCCCCAGACGCAGCTCTCTGGTATATTTGAGCAGATTTGCAGCGTGACGGGTGAGGTATTTGAGGCAGCCGCTCGGGGCATGCCGGTTCATTTCCAAACGTTGCCGAATGCGTTTGAGGTGTTTGGGCTGGATTTCATGGTTGACCAGGGTGGAAAGACATGGTTGCTGGAAATCAATGCTTTTCCAGACTTCAAGCAGACGGGCTGGGACTTGAGTGAGATCGTGGAGGGGTTTTGGAGGGGTGTTATGAGAGTCGGTGTTGGAAAATTCTTGGGTGTTGACGTTGCGAAATGCGAGGATGAGGGGGATATGGTTTTGGCTAGGGATGTTGATCTGGGGAAGAGGTGATTCGATGGTTCGATCATGGAAGGGGAGTTGCGTCTGTCTCTCTACGGTTCAGCATACGGAATATACTCAAAACTCTTGGGATTTATGTGCTAGAAATGATGTAGTGCGCGAGTGAGCAGCAACATCACTTATCAACATTCAAGATTTAGTTGGTATCCTGTATATGCTATGACCCCTATTTCCGAGTGATTCCTCAACTGTCGCGAGAACTGGAAGGGGCACCTGCGATATGACCAGAGATGATAGCCGACACTGTACTCAATTTTGAGGCCATTCACACGATTCCATGCCATCTGTCGTCAGCGTTCTCTCTGCGCAGCTTTCATGAGCAGCACCTTGGGGGTGAATACAGTTCACATCTACATACCTGTTCCATGTACATGTTCGATGACATGCGGCCGCCAGCACACGTCACATATTGCAACCCAAACTACGCTATCTTGCATGCCTGCCGTTGGAACAAGCACTCGAGAGTCAAAGCCATGAGTATAACTACCCCGCCTCCAAAACTAACATCCCAACAACATTGATGCAGCCATGACCTCTGTATCACTACATATCCACCGCGACCAACGTGCCTCGGCGGTGGCTTAGATCACTGCGCCCTCGGTTCTCCTCTTCTGCAATCCCGTCACTACATGCGTCTCCGGGTCCGTTATCCGAACTGGATGCCGATTCCCGGGTCGACTGGATTGGCAAAATCCTCGGAAAGCAAAGGAGGCATGGAAACGCACACGCTGGCAGGGATATCAAAGCATACAATTGCATATATAACTAGGACAGACACACACGAACACACATGAAAACCGGGATCGATATTGGTCCCTGGTGAAAGACTTGGGAGTTTGCTCTTCTGCCGGTTTGGAACAGGACCCACGACGCAAGATTAGATGGACGGTAACAAGGTGTATCGGAACGACTGGGAGATGTGTTGTGGCACTGCTGGCAGACACGAGGGTGGTATCCGAAGAATATCAGGTTATTTTGGACTCCGGAGGAAAGGAAGAAGTGATGGCATGATGACAACTGTGCTCATGCTGGGAAGTATTCGGTATATCCCTGCCCTGTCCGAAAAAAAAAAGAGGCAAAGCAACGTGAACCAGAGACATCTATCTCATGGAGTCAAGGTAGGGTGCCTGCCCTCACCGCTTTGAATGCTACAACGGAATGAAAATGTTCGAAACATGCACGCTTTGATTCTATCAAGAAACAACCGCCACTCTCCGCCAAGACCAACACAGCCTTATAAAGTGGTCCTTGTCGACTCTTCTCCGCAAGTACCTCAAAGTACACGTGAAGGCATCGCCAACCATCCGCGTCTAAACTCCTTCCGGGCTCGTCTAGCTAAGCTACAATGAAACAAGGCATCCGTTTCAAAACGGCCACCTTGTTTGCTGGGCATCATTGTTGCGTAGCAAATAGTAGTATGAACTTGTGCCCGGTGAAGTCGCTTGCTGCGGGAAGCATGTAGTAGTATATGCATTGAGGCTGAGCACTCAGACTGGGCCGGATTAGGAAAGAGGCAATTGATATCGGTTGACTATGTATGCAGAAGATAGGGAGGGGGGAGGACGCAACACAAAAGGACTCGGGGGCAAATAAAGGCGTTTGGAAGCGGGAGAAAGATGGAACGAATCCGGATATTGAATAGTACTGAGCCAGGCGCTCATTCATTACCATGTCTACTACTCCGTACTATGGTGGCACTGAGGACTGTGTTGTATTTTACTGGCTGTCTGGTGGCTGTTGCGAGATGCCATATTGCCGAGCAGTCATTCGCGCCAGGTGGTGCTGTTATCTTTTTACACTTTCAACGTGCGACGTGAACGTACGACATGTCAGCTGTGCGGCGTGTCATCACATCCATACGCACATACATACTCCGGTATGCTTGTACATACGTGTGCCACCCAAAACATGAGACATCACACAAGGATATCGTCCCAGGCAAGATTTGGGACCTGCCAGACCTTCAACTGGACCCGAACACGTATGTACGTAGATATAGGTCGAATGACACATTTTGTAAGGAAGCTCGGCAGAGTCCTTGTCTTCTAGGTCCTCATGGCAAGACACGGCAGCCTCATGCACCATGGTTTTACAAATGCAGTTGTGGTGCGGAGTACAAGTGCAAGCTGAAAAGGTTGAATTTGTTACCGTTGACGCTTCCACGATAGACACATATATTGAAGAGTGAGGCTGTGCTGCAGACGCCAAAGGCCTGATCTGTGGGACCTGTCAATCTTGACTGATGATGGTGGCCGATTTTGACTGCGCTTTTTGAGATTATGTGCTGATTGGTCCTTGGTTCATGGAATGAATGTTCATCATGGTGCTTCCGGCAGTCCTGGGCGTCTGCTCTCTGATAGCATCATCACAGACATGACAGTCAATAACCAAAGCCATGTGGGGATACAGACAAGCCGTCTTGAATATTGATTGAAGATCGGAGCTTGAGGCATTTTGGCGACAGGCTGCTCTGCGCGGACTTGTGGTGCATGTTGCGGAGTAGATGATAGTACGGAGTATCGCTAATGAATTAATTTCTGCAGGGACTCATGTGGTAGGCGGTTGAAACGGGAGTTTTGCCTTTTTGATAACTTTTTGATTGCCATGGGTCCGCGGGAGGAGGTTGCGTATGTAGTATGTACGGAGTATTAGCACGGCCTGAATGAGGTCCTCCTCCCCGTGCGATGACGTCTGCAGCCTCGTGGCATTCGAATCCGCGATTCCAATGCGCGAGTCGACAATCTGATGTGTTTTGTCTCCCAATCGACCACACTGGCTTGAAGAGGAGCAGGTGGCCAAAAAAAAAAGGGTTCGAGTCGATGAGTCCACCATCGTCACCATCAATGAGATGCAAGCGGGGCGTACCAAAGATGCTCATGTTTCTCTTCCATGCTCCTGCTGCCCGGCCTGGTCAGTCATTCTGAACTAGTCCTGACAGACCGCTGGGGCTGGAGAGTGTCAGCAGTAGCTTAAGGGGATTAAGGTGTGTTCTTGGGACGGGATAGCTCCAGGATAGCTCCAGGATGCTGCAGCCACGGATCTGAGCTGAATTAGCGGCCCGCTTATGTCCAGACGGGGAGACTTTTTCCCTCTCCCGGTTTGTCGCGATGAGGATCTGAATCGTGTCGATGTCACTATGCGGCCGCCTCTGCTTCTGCTTTGCTTCTGCTTCTGCCTCTGCCCCTATCCGTGATTCTCTGTCATCGACTTATCGATTGACTTCATCGATGAATGACACGCGGCTGGCAGGCTCCTTGGAGAGTTGGCAGGTGGAGGCCATTTCCTGTTGTGAATCAAACAAAAGGAGGCCACATTCAAGCCCTTGAAACGCACCGAGAACAGCCACATTCACGGCACACCACCGCTGGAGTGACTGCTGTTGATGCAAGGGACACGCCTTGAACATCTACCCTGGTACTACTTATCGATGGCCATGACCGTACGCCAAGGCGGTCATAGCAACAGCCAGAGACGAAGGCGCTAATATGAGCATGGCTGAATATTCATGCAACGACCACTTATTCTTTTCTAAGGCTGAGTGATGGGACTTTGCAAATCATGAAGTACGCATCACGCAAGGCCGTATTTAGTCTACCCGCCCTTGTTGAGAATTTCCGGACAACTGGCTGTGGCAACAGTAGCAGTAGGCGTTCTGCGCATTGGCATGTTGAGAAAGCCACGCCAAGAACATGGTTGACCAAGAATCGCCCACTATTACGGCGTTGACAATATCATGAAGGGTCGTCGAGCGCTCAGCCACATCCTCAATGCGCATCACATTTGCCATTCAATCTACGGAGTAGATGTCCATGTATTGGATTGTCGCCACTGGGGAGGCCGCCGTCGCCGCCGTTGCAACGCCGGTCATTCTGGACAAACCAACAGAGACCGACTCCCCTCAGCATAACGATGTTTCGTGCTAATTAGAGTCTGCATGCATGCTACGACAGATGCGCTTGGGTTTGGAGACCAATCAGAACTTGCATCCTGCCGATTCAGCACAAAGCACTTTCTAAGCTTTGAATAGCCATGTTTGCCAGACGTACAATTCATCAAGAGAGAGGGGCCCGCAAACGTACCATGACCGTCGTGCGATTTAGGCACAGGCATCGGATCCTGACGGAATCCATCCTACTGTCAACTCAGCTCACAGCACGGTTGGGCTGCCTCACAGACACGTACCTGGATAATGTACCCCGTACTCCGTACAGTACTACTCAATACCAGGGAAAGGGTCTCGTACTCTTTCCGCCATGGGTCCGTGGCGTGGTACTTGGAGATCAGGGTCATCCTGGCGTGGCTTTAGTCAGTCTTGTGTCAGCGTCGTGGCCTAACAGCACCGCGGTAAATTAGGGAGACGGGAGCTGGTATTCTTGGCTCTGGCCGAAGTAACGTAGAGTGTCGCTCAACAGTGGTACATGATAACATGATGGCGGTCTTGGGGTGCTGAGCACGAAGTACGAGCACTGCCCAATTCAATGGACCTACCAGACCAGACGGCAACACATGATGGTCAGGCCGCAAACCTGGACCCGACTTCTGCGTTCAATGACGACTCTTCTGTGGAATCAGCCAACATCAGACACCGCATAAGCCATCGAGTCGGTGGACTCAGCGTTGTAGCCATCCCACACTTGGGCCTAACCACCGTCAATCAGCCTTCCCGGTGACACTGGAGCATCCTGAAGCGAAGACTCGGCGACGGCGATTCACCATGATACGGCACGGTGGGCTGGGGACCACAGTACTCGGTACTAGTATTCTGTGCTGTCCGTACGGAGTATTTGCCTTGTGTTATTAGCCGGGGCAGTCGTAGGCCTTCGGACGCTGTCCCACGTTAGCCTTTGCCTGGGACTGCACGGAGAAACTCACTCCACACACAGAGTGAATGTAGGAGCTTGAGCCTGAGAAAGGGGTCGGCTGGGTGGCACCTAACTGGAAGTTGTACGGAGTAAAGGCACCGAAAATTCGCCCTTGACAGAGCCCGAGAGCTAAGACCTCGGAATGAGCCATGTAACGATTGGAGCCCTCCCCGTCTCTGTGCTGCCAGTTGCCACGGCTCGTCCGTCACCAAGCAACCTTGTCTTATTTGCCAAATTTGCTGCGCGGAAAATCTGAGCGAGACAGGAACTGCCCCGTTGCCGTTTAATGGGCCGCCACTTCTCCAATCATCCCGCGGCGGCTTGCCAGGCTTGCCAGGGTTCTGGAGGCATCCCCAGTTCCAAATCTTGGGAGTGGCAGCTAAAGTTCCACAAGTACCCAAGTTTCTTTCTCTGGTGGCCCCACTCTGACCTGGCGCGCCCAATCAAGCTGGTCTTTCTTTTTTGCACAGCCTCAACCTTCGCCTGATTCGGTTTACTTGCAGGTCCATCGAACCTCACCTTGGAGCACACAACTGTAGCACCGGCGGCAGTCTGGCGTGTTACTTGTGTTCGCCGCTCCATTCACTCCGTGAACGCCTTTCTTTTCACTTCGTCTTCACCTGTTGTGCTCGATATGTTCTAGATCCCCTAGCTAAAGTCTTTTAGCAGCAACCGCTTCGGGGCGTTGTTCGTTCGCTGCGTGTTCAAGGCTGTCCCCGTACTAATTAAACTCGCCATACTCGCTTTCCTCGACACCCTGACGCTTGGATTTGCATCCTCTACGTCTACCCTGACCTCTGTGCCTGGACATTACGCCTTCGCGCTTCTCTTACTACGACCCAGCTCCGATATCTCCATGATCTCGTCTAGACAGGCTTCCGCATAGCCTCCCTTTGACTCCGTCATCACGACCCATCTCTGCCCCCCAGCTGAATCCGCCGGTCCAGCTGTGCGCCAGAGGCGATGACGGACGGTGGTGAATTAGGGCCGCGTCCGCCTGGCGCGGCCCCCCGGCGGCAAAGAGCGTGCGTGCTCCCTCTTCTCAGATATCTGCCATATTGGCTGATATATTTGCGTACTGGCCCAAATCTTATATTGTGTGCTAACTCGGAAAACAACACAGGCCGACCATCAACATTGACACGGCTGCTGTCAGTAGTGGTGGTAACGTTGTCGAGATGCCTCAAGAATCAACAGAATCGCAGCCACAACCGCAACCGCAAACAATGGCCACGCCCATTTCCCCCCAGGATGACACCGTGAGCCCATCTACTATTGTGGAACAGCCGCCATTCGGCTTCAATAGCCAACGCTCGGAACTGCAAGCAGACACTTCGTTCGATAGCCGTGAAAACAGGCCTACTAGCCCTCACAATGTTTCGAGTCCTGTACTATCGCGAACGCACGATGGGGGAGCGGGCTTCTTGTCTGTACCCAACCAGCTACGGTCAAGACAGAACTCGGTGGATTCGGATGATGTGGCCCGTTCAGTGACTTCACACGGTGACACGACGGTAGTTGCCTCTAGTTATACCCAAACCGACAAATTAAAGGCCTCTGGTAACGAAAAGATTATGAAGGACACTAGAGCCTTGAACCCGGACACCGGAACCGATGACGATTTCAACGTCGACAACAATCCGTTTGCTTTTTCCCCGGGCCAATTGAACAAAATGTTCAATCCCAAGAGCCTATCCGCCTTTTTTGCCCTCGGTGGCATGCGAGGCCTCGAGAAAGGTCTCCGATCAGATCGCAAATCTGGTTTGAGCTCGGATGAGACTTTTTTGGACGGCGAAGTTACCTTTGACCAGGCCACGGCCGAGAACGATAAGAAGGCCACCGAAGGCGCCATCACAACCACTGCTGCAGTCGCGAGGATGCAGACTAACAAGTCCCGAGGAAACGACTCCTTTGCCGACCGATATCGTGTTTTTCGAGATAACCGTCTGCCCGTGAAGAAGGGAAAGAGTCTGCTAGAGTTAATGTGGATCACCTATAACGACAAGGTCCTGATTCTACTATCGATTGCCGCCGTCATCAGTCTCGGCGTTGGTCTCTATCAGACATTCGGACAGAGCCATGACGATGAGCCCGCTGTTGAATGGGTCGAAGGTGTGGCGATTATTGTTGCCATTGCCATTGTCGTCATTGTCGGGTCTCTCAACGACTATTCCAAAGAACGCCAGTTTGCCAAGCTGAACAAGAAGAAGCAAGATCGCAACATTAAAGTGGTACGCTCTGGTCAGATCTCAGAAATCTCGGTTTTCGATATTATGGTTGGTGACGTGGTTCATCTTGAGCCTGGTGACTTGGTCCCCGTTGATGGTGTTCTCATTGACGGCTTCAACGTGAAGTGTGATGAGTCTCAGACAACGGGCGAGTCTGACATTATCAGAAAGCGACCCGCCGACGAAGTCTATCAGGCCATTCAAAATAACGAAAGCTTGAAAAAGATGGATCCCTTTATACAATCTGGTGCCCGCATTATGGAAGGTGTCGGCACATACATGGCTACATCAACCGGTATCTACTCCTCGTACGGGCGAACGCTCATGGCCCTGAATGAGGACCCTGAGATGACCCCTCTCCAGGCCAAGCTCAATGTCATCGCTACGTACATTGCGAAACTTGGTGGCGCCGCTGGACTCTTGTTGTTCCTCGTCCTCTTTATCGAGTTCCTCGTTCGTTTACCGAAGCTTCCCGACTCAGTTACTCCTGCCCAGAAGGGCCAAAACTTTCTAGAAATTTTCATTGTGGTTGTGACCATTATTGTCGTTGCTGTGCCTGAGGGATTACCTCTTGCCGTCACTTTGGCGCTAGCCTTCGCGACAACTCGCATGTTGAAAGATGCCAATTTGGTTCGACATCTCAAGGCTTGCGAAGTCATGGGCAACGCAACAACCATCTGCTCTGACAAAACTGGTACCTTGACACAGAACAAGATGCAGGTCGTGGCCGGCACTATTGGCACAGCACAACGATTTGGCGCTGCGCGTCCCGACTCTCAAGATAGCTCTGATGAGAGCGTCGAGATGGACACTGCAACCGAGGTTTCTGCTGCCGAACTCACCTCCATGCTTAGTGCTCCGGTAAAGGATCTTCTTCTGAAGTCTATTGCCTTGAATTCTACCGCATTTGAAGGTGAAGTAGATGGTGAGCAGACTTTTATTGGCTCCAAAACTGAAACGGCTCTCCTCCTCCTAGCAAGAGCCCATCTTGGCATGGGCCCAGTAAGCCGAGAGCGTGATAATGCTACGACTTTGCAAATCATCCCCTTTGACTCCGGACGCAAATGCATGGGCATTGTCGTTCAGCTGCCTACAGGTGGTGCCAGGCTCTATGTGAAGGGTGCTTCCGAGATTTTACTCGCAAAATGCACCCGCACGCTGAGCGACCCCTCTACTGACGATTCTGTCACAACCCTTTCAGCACAGGATGGGAAAATCATCACTGGGCTCATTGAGACATATGCGTCCCGGTCCTTAAGAACCATTGGCATTTGCTACAGGGACTTTGAAGTCTGGCCACCCAAGTCTGCTCGTCGCGGCGAAGGTGGCGGGAGCGATATCGAGTTCAACGACCTCTTTCAAGAAATGTCCTTCATCGCCATGGTTGGTATCCAAGACCCCCTTCGTGAGGGTGTCTATGAGTCTGTCAAGCTTTGCCAGAAGGCTGGTGTCGTCGTCCGCATGGTCACTGGAGATAACAAACTTACTGCCCAAGCCATCGCCAAGGAGTGTGGCATTCTCCAGCCCAACAGCATCGTCATGGAAGGTCCCGACTTCCGCAATCTCAGCAAGCGAGAACAGGAAAAGATTATTCCGCAGCTCCACGTCTTGGCTCGTTCTAGCCCCGAAGATAAGCGGATTCTTGTGAAGCGGCTCAAGGACAAGGGTGAAACGGTTGCTGTGACGGGTGACGGCACAAACGATGCCCCTGCACTCAAGATGGCCGATGTAGGTTTCTCCATGGGCATCGCCGGCACCGAAGTGGCCAAAGAAGCTTCAGCTATTATTCTTATGGACGACAATTTCGCTAGTATCGTCAAAGCCCTGAAGTGGGGCCGTGCTGTCAACGATGCCGTCAAGCGATTCCTCCAGTTTCAACTCACCGTGAACATCACCGCCGTTGTCTTGACATTCGTTACTGCCGTTTCCAGCGAGACGGAGAAGTCTGTCTTGACCGCCGTCCAGCTGCTGTGGGTGAACTTGATCATGGATACCCTTGCGGCGCTAGCTCTTGCTACAGATCCCCCACAAGACAGCGTTCTTGACAGGAAACCTGAGCCCAAGGGTGCGTCGATAATCTCTATCACTATGTGGAAGATGATTATTGGCCAGGCGCTGTACCAACTCGCCATCACATTCCTCCTGTACTATGGAAGTCCCAAGGGCATCCTGCCTCTCCCAGGCCCAGATGACATCCCTGAGCCTGCCCAAATCAATACGCTGGTGTTTAACACATTTGTGTGGATGCAAATTTTCAACCAGTGGAAGTAAGTGGCTGCTAAACCCAAGTCTGTAGTTTGTTTGACCAGGATGCTAACCAGCCACCATCAGCAACCGACGATTGGACAACAAGTTCAACATCTTTGAGGGTCTCAGCAAGAACTGGTTCTTCATAGGCATCAGCATCATCATGTGCGCTGGACAAGTGATTATCATCTTCTTTGGTGGTGCCGCTTTCCACATTGCCGATCAACCAGAGGACAAGGCCATATGGGGCACACTCTGGGCCATCGCAATTGTTCTTGGATTCATCTCGATACCCGTGGGCGTCATCATTCGACTGGTTCCCGATTGGATCATTCTGGCCTTGGTGCCAGAATTTTTGAAAAAGAGGTCGCACTCTGTACCCGGACTGACCATCTCAGATGAAGAAATGGAGATGTACCCAGAGCCACTGGCGGAGTTGCGAGACGAACTAAACTTTCTCAGGCGGGTGAAGGGTGGTCGCCTCAACAATTTGAAGTTTGCTATTCAACACCCCAGGGAAACCATTTTGCAGCGATCGCGCAGCCCATCGCACTCGAGATCGAACTCCCTGCATGCACCGCAAACGCCTACAGGAGAGGAGAACTTTGGATCGCCTTTTGCGACACCCAACTCTGGGGCAAAATCAGGATCAAACCGATCCCGTTCGAACTCGGCGGTGCGCGCTACCGCTCTCATGGCAGGCGTTGTCGCTGCGGGTGTTGGAGCCGGATGGTCGCCGGCGGGCCGAGTGTCTGCAGAGGAAATGCAAGAAGGCTCGAACAACAGTAACAACAAGACGGTAGAAAAGCGAAATGAAGGAGGAGATACCAGCGAATCGCGCAAACGAGAGTAAAACTATTGCGCCCTTTTTTTTTTTTGCGTTGTTGCTTTTGGTTTTGGACCAGGCGCTGTATTCATATGAGGCATGGAAACCCAGCCTATTTTTTTCAAGTTAGTTTATTCTATTAGACAGGCCGCATTACACATGAAGAACTTTGATAGCTTTGGTCGTTTACAAATATGGAGTGGATATATTTTGTTGATAGCATTGCCGGTAGCCTGAAATTAACGACTTGAAAGACTATTACGCCTAGTATTTGCGGCAAAATGGGCCCGACTAGTGGTACTGGTGACCTAAATGTAACATGTAAAGGCAGACGAGATGACTTTTTGAGCCTGGTGGTTGTCGAACTTTGATAGACGGACATGTCTCGCCAAAGCCGTTCCCGGAGGCGACGGCGGCAGTGTGCCGTGTGTCAAGGGCCAAAGGGGGCTCTTTATGATGTGTCGGATACTTGGGTAAATGAGTGTGATGGATTGGCAAGCAACTTATTTTTTTGCGGTCAACGTGGTTGGTCCCCGTCTTCTCCCGCGCGAACTACATAGGTCCGTCTATCCTCCATGCTCGCCGCCATCTTGTTTTGTACAATACGTGCTTGGTACGGCTGGCCTGGTTTCAGCCGTATTGTAGTTATTTACTGGCCGGATGGGCTCCCTGGCTGTGGCAGCGTGGTGGGAGACAGCCCGCAAACAGGACCAATCGAGCCGTTTTAATAACTTGGTATGGAGTACTCCGTATGTATGTAACTTACTTGCTGGGGGCGACGGGGGGAAAAGGGCAGAGAGGGGGGAGTTGTGTGTGATTGTGCGCGGTGTGGCGTTTCTTTTTCGTCTCTGTCGTTCCGCGGCTCGTCAATTCATTTGAAGCCGGCGGGCTCCTGTTTGCTCAAGGTGAGGGAGCGAGCTCGGGTGGGCAGAGCCAAGGCAAGGCAAGGCGGTACTCGGTAGCCGTATTGCATCTTTGGATATTACTGGTATTGTGGTGTGGTTCGTGTGGATGGGAAGGACCAGACAAGAATTACGGAGTACTACTGAGGAAATTGCCTGGGGTGCTATTCTTGTATGTACAAGTTGAATTGACGGTTTCCCCCCATGTCTTTGACACACACGTTTCAAACGGGAACCCGGCTTTGCTGCTCATTGCTGGCGAGGGCTTGGCGAGAAAAGCAAAAGCAAAGCAATGCATATGGGACGGGCATTCGTCCAAGCTGTCTGTGTAGTTGCTTGCATGTTTGTTGACGCAGATATTGGGTGACGAGTTGGAAGGGCTCGATTGACTGTTGTTCACCGGGCGTGTAATAAAGTGGCTGCATCTCGTAGTCGACGACTGTTTTTGACGTGCATAGCTTGTTCTTGCTCACCCTGATGAGCGTCTCATCACTCACGACCCATTTTACGGAGTAGGCCGTTTGATTCCTTCTTTTCTCTGCCGACCAGACAACTACCTACTTGAGTACCTAGTAGGTGGGCAAAGCGGAAACGGCAGCAACTTGGGCTCCTCGTTTGGGCGTCGAGGCGTGGAAAGTATCCGAATATCCGAGTATCGACTGGAGTATCAAATACCGAGTGAGTGAGTGAGCGAGTGAGTGAATGAGTGATTGATTGATTGAGTGAGCGCGCGAGTCCCCAAACCAAGTGGCACTCGCCCTCGCGCCTGTCACACTTTGTATTTCCGGACTGGCATTTATTTCACTACATACTTTACTTTGCGTATGTACAAGTTGCCATTGCCATTGCCATTGCCATCAATTGATCTCCGACACCCGTCACCGTCACCCACTCGGCACTTGGGTCTTCGTATGGTCTTGCAACCAACGTCTTGGCCTCTTTTTTCTTCTGCTTCTTTGGTTCCACGTATTCAGCCCGAGTCCCGTCGTCTCCATTCATCCCGTCGTCCCAACGCCAACTCGGGCATTTTATTCCCACCTAGGCCAGGCATTCAAGCACTCAAGCACTCGAGCACTCGAGCACTCAAACAGGCGCTCTCGCATTCTTTGCATGCGCCTGTCTCGGCTCGCCTCTGCTTGTCCCATCCCCTTGGACCTCAAAAAGGCCGAGGGCTCGCAACTAGGTATTTGTCCCTTGAAGCTGACGGAACCGGGACGAGGCGTGGTGTCAATGTTGCTGCGTGTGTTGCCACAGGAGAGGCGTTAATTTTATTGTGCCATCTTATTTAAAACGCATAGCCAACATTTCGCAACGCAACGCAACGCAACGCAACGCAACACACGAAAGACAAAGCGCCCATCCGCCCCCATCTCATTCATTCATTCCTTCTTTCATTCATCCATCCAATCCGTCGAGCCCACCAGCCATCCATCCCCTCCGCCTCGGCCGGCTCGATCCTGATTTCTGTTCCTCACACATCCCCAGGACAACTGAGACAGACGAGGACAACTCACTCGCTCTGTTGGCGACTCGTTTTATTTCGGCACGAGGCGTCGCCTAGAATCTCGACGCCGGCAGGCCCTTGGCTGGCATAGGAAGCCCTCGAGTCTGCCTAGGCAATTCTAGCTAATTCATCTCTGGCTCCTTGAGCCCAGCTATCTTTGGCCACAACTGCCCGGTATTTTCTCTCGACAAGACGTCTACTACTAGGTCGGTGTGTGTGGGTTTTTTGGTTTTTGGTATCAAGAGCGTGCAACCGCCTATCAACCAAGTTGACCTTTGAGTCTTTTTGCTCTTCGCAGCCGCCCACATTGACACGCATTAACACCTCCATCTCTCTCTGTGTTGCGCTCTGCTTGTCAAGCCTTGTTGTTCCATTTTTGCTTGCCTTTTACTTTCTCTATTTCCCTTAGCCCGCCTTGGACGTTGCGCTTGCCACGCTCCAAGGCTCCAAGGCGCCAAAGCTCGCTTTGCCTATTTTCGCCCGCCGTCTAGACAGACATACGTCTTACTTTTTAGACTTTTGGCCTGTTTTCGCTCCCAACCTCTCTCTGCTCTCTCTCTCTCTCTTTCTCTGTCTCTTTCTCTTTTTCTCTCTCTCCTCGTCGCTTTTCCCCTCTTTTTTCTTTCTCTTCCTTGTCTCCTTTTCCCGCTCGGCTTCATTGCAAACTCGTGCATCCTCTGATCTCCTCCCTTTGTCTCATCCAACTTCATCGGTCCTCATTTGGACTTTGGCTTGAACAACTCGCCATTTCCACTGTTAGCATTGCAGCCCGTCAGCCCAACACAACTATTTCCTTCATGACGATGAAACGTGGCGCCGCCAAGGCTGGGGGTCTGTCGCGGCGAAAGCCCAAAGTCGACGCCTTCGAAAACTTACCACACGATGCCTCTGTTGATCAACTCAAAGCCGCTGCCGTCCATGTGTCTTTAGAAGAACTCGAGCACAGAGTTGCTGATGTGCGCGATTCGTGGGAGACGGAATCGTTGTTTGAGGAACTAACCCAGGGGAGCCCCGAGGAACAGTGTAAGTCTTTTATATCTACACCAACACCTAATAATCTATTTCTATTTCTGTTTCTATTTTTGTTTGTATTCGTGTTCCCTTTGGTCTCGCTCCGTCTTGTCGAATTGCATCATTTGATTGCTCGCGTGTTTGGTTGTTCTTGATATTGCCATCGCTTCCACCCACCCAAGCCATACGCTCCATGTGTCGAGCCCAAAAACTTGGTTGCTTACTTTCGAACCCCCTAAATATTTTCCATCTCGATTTTTCATCCCTTCACCCATTCATCCTTCTATCCATGAATGCATTAATTCAAATTAACTGACATTTGCATAGCCCCTGATATTTGTACCCCCGAGGAGTCTGCCCGACTTCGTCGTGAACTACGAGAATACGGCCCCATCATTTTCTGCAAAAGAACTCTAGATTGCGGTCGCTATACGGCCAAGAAGCTTCTGACTGCCTTTTCCATCTATTCGTCTGATTCTCTCGAGGAAAGAACAGAAGAATATTACTCCCATCTCGTGTCGCTGGCCATCACCAGGGAGTTGTCAAAGCGTATCAAGCTGACCGACCACAACACGGTCGACGACGCCGTAGACCTCATCCAGAAATGCAAAAATATCATTGTCCTCACCGGCGCCGGCATTTCCACCTCTCTCGGCATCCCGGACTTTCGCTCCGAGGGTACCGGTCTATACTCCAAGCTGGCCCATTTAGGCCTCAACGACCCGCAGGAGGTCTTCAATATTGACACATTCAAGGAAGACCCGACGATTTTCTACTCGGTAGCCAAGGACATCGTCCCGGCCACTGACCGCTACACCCCGACGCATAAATTCATCGCCATGCTCCACCAGCGCGGAAAACTCCTGACCAACTACTCTCAGAACATTGACAACCTCGAAGTCAAGGCCGGCTTGCCCAAGGACAAGCTGATCCAGTGCCACGGCTCCTTTGGAACAGCCAGCTGCATAGAGTGCGGCTACCAGACCCAAGGCGAGGCCATCTTCCCCGACATGAAGGCCGGCAAGATCCCCCGATGCCCAAAATGTATCCGGTCCCTCCGTGTCAACGGCGGAGCGACCAAGAGAAAGCGCTCTGCGGGGGTTGAAAAACGCCGCAGCAGACGATGGTCCGACATTGATGATGACGACGACGACGACTCGGGTTATGACATTCCCTCTGCCGGTGTCATGAAGCCAGACATTACCTTCTTCGGCGAAAAGCTTCCCGACGAATTCTCCAAGCGCCTCACCGAACACGACCGAGACAAGGTCGATCTCGTAGTCATCATCGGCACATCCCTCAAGGTGACTCCCGTGTCCGAAGTCTCAAACTGGCTGTCCCCCAATGTGCCCCAGATTTACATTTCCCGTCAGGCAGTCAGTCACATCAACTTCGACATTGACCTCCTAGGTGACTGCGACGTCGTCGTCACAGAGCTCTGCCGCCGCCTGGGCTGGCCGCTCAGGCATGAAATGGTGCCGCCCAACCAAGTCATCAACGTGACTCCCGAAACGGGCTACAAGAACAGGCATGTCTTTGAGGCAGTTGTCCCCAAAGCAAACGGCGTTAAAAAAAGCCCTTGAACCTAAGAACAAGCGATCTCCTTCTAT